GGGTTATGTAAAGGTTGACTCGGCTATAGTTTAGCATCAATCGGAAGACCATTCCAGTGTCCCACTATACTTTAACTGACTTTGTTTAAGAAATTCCCTTCTCGGTCTTGGAAGGGCTATAAATCAGAATGGACATTTCCAAGCTCATGGTTAGTTCGCATAGCATGCATTTCTCCTTATTATTATGTTTCTTTCAAGTTCGGTCCAGTGTGATATTATTCAGGACCTTGTACAACAATGTTGATTTGGTTGTATGTCGTCTTGTCTCTAAATTCCAAGCAAGGGACAAGTGTCTATAACAAGATAAACGACGCTAAATCCAATATCTCAAATCATGAAAAAGTTGCTGCAATTTCGTGTATTTGATCATTTCTGCATCGTCTTCTGGCCGCTTTTAAAAATATTGATGATTGTTCAATTGCTGCAAAACAGGAAGTTTATCAATTACACAGGAAGTCAAATCTTCAAATAACTCAGAAAATGAATTAATGGTTCATGTGAGCAAATGAATTGGTAGAATTTCTAGGAACACTTTCATTGCCACGACTCAAATATAAATTCAATAAATACTCAAAACGATCATTTCCAGAATAAAACTAGAACCGTTGACGAATTCGACCTGTCTCTTGTGAAATTTCGTGATTTTAATTTAAAACATTGCAATTGCTGTTATGCGTGAATGATTAATCTAGATGTTTCAAAATTTATAACAGACCTTTTCAAATTCAAACAACACAACACCACAGGGGAGGCATTGGGCATTGTTTTAACTTAGTCGAAACGAAACTAATTGGCAAATTGCAGTAAAGTCTCACAGTTGAATAAAGCTTCGAGCCTTCGACATTCGAAAAAGGCTTTATAGTCTTGTATATGTCAACAAATATCGGTCCAATTATGTCTCGTTTACAGTTCCTACTGTTCGTTATACTTTTGAATGTTTCATCAACGTCACAGGAACGACTGTGTAGGTACAAGAAATCTGGAGCATATTGTCGGATGCATTGTTGTGGTAAACCAGACGATACGTTGCTTTGCCTCGACAGTTGTGATGGTATACCATGCTCCAAGTCAGACGACTGCGATGATGATGGTTGCTGTAAGAGTGGCAAATGTACCAACAGTGGATGCAAGACGCCGTGGTATGTCATTGCCACACCAGTTCTCGTGATTGTCTTGGCAGTTTGCATTGCTGCGTATCGAATATGGTGCGTGAAAAATCGTCGAGTTTCACACGCAGGTATGATATATAATATGTATTCAGCACACCCGTCTTCAAAATTACGCAACCAGGCCGAGAGTAGCTAAAGTTAGCATAGTTAAAATTGATCTAGTACAATCAATGTTATGGCTGTTTAAAATAAACTCTGGTTCATGCCAACGGACCGTTGGAACGAATCATGTTAAGTATAGGTCTGATGTCCCCTTACTTTAAACAATATTTCAAATCCGACTATGAAGACTGGAATAGATTTGATGTCGATTCGCGCAATTTGATCAAACTCGAGGCGAAGCCGAGTCTAATCTAGTCCAGTCCGAATTGGAGGATTTGAAATGACATCTCATATGAATATATATGTGTGGGTGAATTAATTTTGATATAAGGACTGAATTAAGTTTGACCAGTTCTAGGACTGGATTAATATACTTTACCAGGTATCCAGTATTATCATGTGAGCAAATAAAGCAATATGATTGGCTAATTTACCATTACATGTTGATTAACACTGTTTATTATATACATAAGGTCTGGATATGAGGTATTCTGCAATCTGATTGGTTCTCTACTAGCAGGATATTAGCTCATATCCTACTAGTAGAGAAAAACAAAATGGCGGCTCAAACTGAATTTCCGATTTTTGCGAACGAGAAAACGGCAAGTTGTTCGCTTTTTATAGCCTTTACAGGATTAAAAACACAATGAAAAAACTCCCACAAATTATTTACAGGTTAGCAAAGGAATTTTTAAATTTAAAATGATTAAAAATATATATTGTTGAAGAAATAATCGGCCGAAAGAGCGAAGATAAAAACATAAACAAAATAGAAAAATATTGAAAATATCCGAAAAGCAAAGTCTGTGAATTCAGACCTTGTGTATATAATAAAACAGAGTATTCTACTCACTCTCGTCGAATATGAGCGATAGCCGATTCGGCGCTACGCGCCTCATCGGCTATCAGCTCATATTCGACTCGACTCACTCGAGTTCGTAGAATAACTGTTAAATAATGACTTATTAGGCATTGGTGAAATCACCACAGATCGTGGTTTCGATTTGCGGGGCAGACACATGACACTGATGTGAAAAGAGTCAGTCATGAATGCTCTATACAGAAAGTCGTGGGTTTTCTCCGGGTATTCCAGTTTCCTCCCACAGGGAATGTTGAAAGGTTATGTTGCATGGTTGGCAAATCTTCTTTTATTATTTCTTCTTTTATCTTCTTTTATACTAAAAGAAGTTTTTTTGAAGCAAAATTTCTTCTTTTATCTTCTATTAGTATTTTTTATTTTTTTATATTATATTTAAAGGGGAAGTCAAGTCCGTTCTGCGCATCGGTTCTGCTCATAACAATGTGAGGACCTCTAATGTGAACATTGCCCAAATTTCGAATGTTTCGAATTTTTCTGAACATAAACTCTATTTCATATTCATTTAGAAGCGTAGCGAACCAAAATGGTATCAGATATTCAGACAGTACATCATATTTTAAAAAATACAGCAGTTCAAAATGTAAACAAACCGTTTGTTTACATTACGGACTTGATTCAATTTAAAAGTAGTTTTGTAAATTTGACTTTGTAAATTTGACTTTGTTAATTATTTAAATAACAAATATAATAAGAAAACTGGGATTCAATCATTTTCATAATGAAAATTCCATTACGTCCACCAGTCTCAATAGTGAAATTTAAAAATTACGTCACATTGTGACGTCATCATCGTATTTTTTTTCGAATGTCAACAATCTTCTTTTAGTACTTAAAATCTTCTTTTGGTACTAAAAGAAAAAAGTTTTTTTCTCATAAAAATCTTCTTTTATCCAACCCTGTTATGTTGAGATTAGCTCCAAACTGACCCTTCCACCGTAGCTGTGCTCCGTGAGCAGACATGAGTCATAAGGTGGCTGCCAGAGACGCCCTTAGTAAGTCTTCGACTCGATCAGGTTGAGCTGTGTCCTTCGCAATTCAGCTCAGCTCTCAGCTGCAAGTATTTATAAGGATGATTAGCACAGTTCCACTTACTTACAATCAAAGCTGTTATGATATATTTCCAGGTGTAATTGTATCAGTCGTTGGACGAGATGGTCAACTTTATGCCCATGATGACTCTGTGGCTCTTCTCACTGGTAATGATGGTGATCAAGAACAAGCTCAAGGAAATGAACAACCAACTGCGCAGACAACGTGGAAAGAGATGCCGGATTTGCCACCACCCTATGCACCTTGACGTCCTTTAACTTTTCAGTATCGTAAAACGTGTCATATAGGGTGGAAATAAACAGGTTAAGATGCCCAGGTTCCAGTTTACAAGTATCGCCATTTTGTATATCAAATTTGGCTGATGTCAGCATGTTTACCCGTAATTTCTACCCGCTTCCCCGCGGTAAACTATGGTCTACACGTAAAAGACAAATACGGGTGTTTTCTGTTTACTATTTGTAGGGCATTTAAGTATATTAAAATACTTCAACATCTTACCTGAATAAATCAATGCACATTTCCTCGTCAAATTTTTCCCAAATCTATAGTGAACCTCAACAACAAAAGTTACCATTCTTCGATCGGTTTCGTACCCCGGAATATCTTGGATTTCTTAAGTTGCAAGTCGTTCCTCGATTTACGGGTAACCAGAAACTGGGTATCTTGTAAGCTATGTTTACACTTGTACGGGATAGCTTTCCGTAGCGACGTGAAAAAACACCTATCCGTACCTTTTAGGAACGATATTTTCAAAGGAATTATTGCAACGGAGAGATGTTGTTTCGCTCAGCTTCTGAAAGTTGTACATTCCGTGTTACTGTTGGATAGCTGCTTTTTTACGCCGCTACGGATTACGGAAAGCTATCCGGTACAAGTATAAACGTAGTTTTAACCTCTCTGCTAGTGAATTAAGGAACGACCAGCCTGAAATTTAAGGCCCGTTTACACTTGCAATTTTTGCTACGATTTTAAGTGCGATTTTCTTCTTCTGATGGATGTGAACGAGTGGATGAGTTATGAATGTTCAGACGAGGGTACATCAGCGAGACATATATACTCAGAACATTCATAACTCATATATATATATATATATATATATATATATATATATATATATATATATATATATATATATATATATATATATATATATATATATATATATATATCGACGTTGAATTCTTTCGAGAAGAAGCAGATCAGCAGACGGACCTTGAGGAGCCCAGACTTCGCAACCGAACGATAAGTGAGAGCGGATCGGAGACAAATTCTTGGGTCTCATATGATGTCATAAATTTGACGGGAGATCAACTCTAAATCGTGACACAGTCAGTCAGAGTGAATTAATTGTTCACTGTATGTGTTGGCCTTGTGTTTGGTGGCAAATACATGCAATTTCGTATCATTTGCTCACTCCAGTACTGCATAAGCATCAATACATTTTAGGTTGACCCCCGTCAAATTCACTGCAAAATGCCGTAGTGAAACCCAAGAATACATAAGGTGGCGGGCATGCACGTCAGTGAGGTGGACACAATTGCATCGCAGAAACCTAAGCATTCTGTTAGCTTTAGAAACTGTTCGAGCTGTAAATGTGTGTTTATTAATCATTCATGATCTTAAAACACTCAATTTTCGGATTAGCATTCATTTTGTTTTTATGATTATATGCATCAATAATTATATAGTAAATGTACAACTTTTTGTGGTGTGGTACAAGGTGTAATCCTAGATTCCTAGTATACGATACGCGTGCTATTTTTTCTTACTTTTTGCGTTTACAAAATGTCAAACTATCCAAAAATGATGGAGGTCAAATTCAGTTTGACATTTTGATATACAGTCTATAGAGCGAGATTGGAACTCGAACTTCAATAGTCATATCTGGCTAGCTTAAATAAAACAGCTTTCGTTGGATTTCCATATTAGAGTTACTATTTGTATAATTGTTTTTGTTTGTGGAAACACCACGTAAATTTATTACTGCAAAGCTTTCGATCCGTAAGCCCGGATCTTCATCAGTGCTAATAATATGATACTCCAGACTCATATTATTAGCACTGATGAAGATCCGGGCTTACGGATCGAAAGCTTTGCAGTAATAAACTATTTACGTGGTGTTTCCACAAACAAAAACAATTATATTTTATCGCCATGCAAACATTCAAAGAACTTATTATTTGTATGTTTTTAATTCCATTTACTTAAGTTGACTAACCATAAATACACTAAAAATACAGTTCAAACTTTTGAACTCTTAATCCCCCCGCCCCTGAATTTTGAACCCAATCATTTTTCGACAATTTTGAAGTCTAGTCACCAAATCAAAAACGAAAAATATCAACTTTAACAAGGAAATTCTACGGAAGCTGTACTATTACAGTAAACCTCGGTCAAACAAAAATGAGAGTTGATGAGAGTTGCAATTCTCGTTCGTGTTTCATTGCCAACTCTCATTGACTCTCATGCACTTTCATCAACTTTGAGCTCGTTCAAATTTTCAGATGATTGAGATGAGAGTTTTGGCTACGCGTGCGGTAATATCATAGAAATAATAGATATCGAATGCGTACTCCTATCTCTTCTCAGTGAAAAATTTGTCTCCACAAAATGGCGGATTTATAAGGGCACGTTTGAGAAAAAGTGGAGACATGATTCGTGATCAAGTACGCATTCTATATCTATTTTTTATATGGGTAATATCCAATCAACTCTCATCAACTCTCATTTCGGATCAAGGAATTAGTTGAGAAAACTTTCATTCAAATTCTCGCAGTGCCGTAGCCAGAACGATAATTGGGCACATATTCATATATTCGTGTTCATATACCATAAAAACAATTGATTTCAAAAGAAATTAATAAAGCAGAACACAAATATATGAATATGTGCCCCCCAATTATCGTTCTGGCTACGGCACTGAATTCTCGCTTGCCAACTCTTATCAACTCTCATCCTCGTTTGATCAGGGACTTTCAGACTTTCATGGCACATCATACCTACTATAGATTGGCAATTTGCAAACAATTTGTAACCCCCTAGCTTCACAACTTTTATAATTCATTGTATCACGAAGCAACTTCTTGCCGTTTTCAGTGAACTTATTCTGTGTAAGCGATAATTTCGTTAACACACACTGACCATTTTTCAGTGCCTTACACAAACTGGGTATGCATTGATCCGTTAACGAACATCCATTAAGTTCCAACTTGATGAGCTTACAATGGTCTTTTGTCAGGGAATCTTCAAACAACATACATGCACCTTCATCACCTATGTCATTGTTCGACAGTGTTAGAAAAGTCAGTTGACAATGTTCATCTTGCAGTGCCTTACACAAACTAGATATGCATTGATCCGTTAACCGACAATAATCAAAATTCAACTTAGTAAGCTTACAATGCTCTTTTGTCAGGGTATCTTCAAACCGACATATAGTACTTGCACCTTTATCACCTATGAAATTCATTTGCAGTGATAGATCATTCAGATGACACCGTTCATCTTGCAGTGCCTTGACTAGTGTAGTAATACATTGATCAGTTAACTCACTCTCATCATTAATTGAATTATATCCAAGATCCAAACGTGTAAGATTTTGACAATGTTCATTGTTAAGTTCGGCACAACGTTTCAAAATATGATGTGAAAAAAATGCTTTTAAATTTAGAATCATCTGCTCAAATACATCCTCATGGTTATGCTGCTGCATGTCAGTAAAATGTATTTGTACACCTACTCTTTCACAAGGTAAGAAAAATACAGGCCAATCTACACGATAATAGAGGGCAACTTTTACGTCACGGCCTTTTCTGTAAACGCCACATATTGCCAAATGCATTCGTAGTTTCACTGCCCATTGTAGCAATCCGAAAATCTCCGGAAGACAATCTGAGGCAAACTCTAACAATATCAAATGTGCCAATTTTTTCATGTGTTTGCAAACGAAAGTCACTGCCGCCCACTCACTTGGAGAAAGATTATACACTCTTAAACGAGTTAATAGTTCTACCGAATCGTTCATAGCAGTTGTTTCGCAAACTTCTTTAGTAATCTCTTCATTGTCCGCTTCCCTTAAACACTTCATTATAAACACTTCCTGATAATTAAGTTGGATTTTACCATTAGTAACTTTCAAGCTTTCTGCAAATGCGAAAACACAATCCTTATATTCCCAATCAAAATTTTTGATTTTCTTGCCCAAAAGTCCTGCAATGAACTGAAGAACTAAATGCCATTTTCCACTTTTAACATGATCGGAAATAAACTTCTGTATTTCCGGTGGAGCGCGTGTTTCAGTCACGTGTCTTGCAGCAAGAAATTCTTGTATGGTTAAATGGATAAAACAAAATTGTGTTTGAATTGGAAAAATAGGATTGGATAAACTGTTCAATAAACCTGACGTTTTCATTTCTTCATCAAATAATACTTGATCAAAAATCAGTTGCCTGCTTTCCATACCAAGAAATGCCAATCGTTGAAGTTTCTTTAACGCTTCTGTCTGCATTTCAGTGATGATGTTTCTGTCTGCATTTCTGTGATGATGTTTCTCGAAATGATCAATGGCTGACTGGTAAAGTTCTGTCAGTGTTGTTGGAAGAGCACCAGTTTCATTTGTTGTGTCACTAAGATATCCTGAAAGGGTAACACACACTATAAAGCAATTAACCGGAATGTAACATAAATTTAACAGTTCTGATGATGATGTTATGTGGTTCCATAACTTCGTTTTAAGGTCGCGCATGTTATTATTGTCACAAAATCGGCTGACATATTTTTCAATGTTATTGGAAGTGAAACCAATAATCTCCACATTTCGATCAAAATTAAGTCTCGAGTAGAAACCATCTCCAATCGGTCTGCTCGTTACTACAACCGTTGCTCCTTTCAACAAGTCGCCCAAAACTAGTTTAATGAATAAATTCATTGCTGACGTGCCATTATCAGGATCGTTTGGAATGATGCGAGATTGGTCTAAACAACTTATGGGGTCGCCGTGATATTCATCTAAACCATCAAAAATAAGAATGGCTTTTTGTGGCTCTTTTGCAATTTGTTCGTAAATATTTTCGAAATTTTCTTCACTCAGACCCGTCCCAAACCGAAGAAACGTCTTAAGGAATATATTTGTTAATTTGTTCATATTTTTGTTGAACCATCTGAATTTGAAAAAGAAGACAATCTTGTCGGAATAATATTCATCAATTTTATTAGCCCAGTCACGCAGAATTTTTTCGGTCAAAACAGTTTTTCCAATCCCAGGTCTTCCAATCGCCAGAATGCTACGAGGAAATTTTCCCTTTGTATCTTCATTGGGATAAAATAAATCACTTATCTTTTCTAAACGTATGGATTTTGAGGGAACTTTCATATAAACGTCGTAGATCTCGTGTCTTTTCATTTCTTTAGAAAATTTATGCTGAGCTCGTCCAGTATGGATAATAACGTCAATATACAAATCATCTATATTAGCGTTTGGTCCATAAATTATGCCAGGATCACGAGAACGATTCAAAACTTGTTCCTTGTAAACGTCGATACAGTCCTTAGTCCCAGAATCCTCGACGTCATTGTCCATGGTGGCACATTCTTGAGCGATAGAGGTGGGAGTGTCCTGATTCCTAGTGTCCTGAATGCTATCGTTCACAGCGCCACACGCTTGAGTGATAGAGTCCGGAGTGCTATAATCTTGAGTGCTACAGTGTGGAGGGTTGTTTTCGATGCTTGTTAAAGGTTCACTTTCACCAGGTACGTTATATTGTTTGCCAATAAGATATTCAATACGTGGACGAGAAAATTTCAAACCATATTTCTCGTGAACGTCGATACAGTCCTCAGACCCAGAGTCCTGGATGTCATTGTCCATAATGGTACATTCTGGAGCAATAAAGTCGAGAGTCTCGTGATTCCTAGTGTTCTGAATGCTATATTTCATAGTGCTATACGCTTGAGCGACAGAGTCCAGAGTGTTATAATCCTGAGTGCTACAGTGTGGAGGGTTGTTTTCGACGCTTGTTAGAGGTTCATTTTCACCAGGTACATTGTATGGCTTGCCAAGAAGATATTCAATAACAAATTCAGAATCACCGCTCCAGCCGTCTCCAGAACAATTGTTGAACACAGGTAAACGTGGCAAAAGATAAATGACTTCCACAAGTATAATTAAGGCAACAATAATATTTATTACAGATACAATTATGCCCCATAACCATTTCTCTGACGCTGTCGCATTCTCACAATTTACGGATGTACTGTTCAAATTACGACTCACATTCTTTGGTTCAGTATTGATGTTGGACGTTACCGCTGGTGGTGAATTACAGTTGAATTTCAAATCGAAACCATTGGGATAATAATATGTGTGTTGTACAACAGTAAAAATGATCCCTATTAACGAACGCACAGCGAGGTGCATAAAATAGCGATGAAATACATAAAAAATTCTCCTGTTTTGTCCACAGTGCTCGGTTTCGCCAACAGTTTGTCGTTCATAGCTTGACTCTATTTGGTCGACACGCTTCCATACTAGCAGTGAATAAATAACACTGACAAGAACTGACAATCCAATACTCAGTAAAACAAAGCCGTACAAAGGTAGAGGGGAGTTATAAGCTTGATCATATTTCACAAAACATACCTGGTCGACTTGTTTCTTGTACGTGGCCGTACTTTTAGCATCAACAGAGGAAGAAAATTTCCCGTTCTCGCTGGCCCTCAAAGCTGCGGTAACAGCAGTAAATACCAATCCACAAAGGAAATGAACAATTACACATATATAGGCGATAGTACCAAATCTTTTCGGGGCTAAATAATCCTTAACTGCGTCTATCATCTTTTAAATTCATATCAAAGCCCGCTTAGGAAAGCTAAAGGCGTTTAGTTTGATCATAGTTTGCGAAGTTGCTGTAATATAAGAAACTTGATCTCTAAATAAACTGTCAACATTGTCTGTGACGAAGCAACCTGATAAATGATACTTTAAAACATGACTCAACAAGACCCTAGCTATTTCAGGATTCACTCGTGCCCATGGAACTGATATATACGGCATACACCAAATTGCAATACGAAAATGAAATTTATGACAATTTGTATCAAATTAGTGGCAAAAAGGGCAAAATAATTTGTATTCACCAGTTTGCGTCAAGATGTATTATTTTATGCTATTGACATTTCACAGACACAGATGTGGTGTTATGTTACCTATGTGTCAGGGCGGTTTGTCATTAATAGTCAGGCAGACAGAGGATCAAAATTATGGAAAACTCACCATATCGAGGGGCAATTCCATTTTGCATTCATATTGTGCCCTGATGGCTAGTAAGTACGTTTCTGAATGTTGGCCGCGTTAAAATTTCTTGTGGGCTTCTGCCGACACGTTTTTCTTCGAATGTTGTATTAAAGTCTATTACAGTTAAAAAATATGAAATTTCAAATACATTTCTAACACAAATGACTTACATCAGTAGAAAGCTAACAAAAAACTACATATAAGACATTTAAATGGATAGTTGGGATTTTCAAGCGGTTTTTGAGTTATTGCCGATTTAAACGTGAAAAATAAGCCAAAATCTCGCAAAATTGCTGGGTACTAGTCTGAAAATACGCTTTTAACAGCTCATAACTCAAGAAGAACTTGAAAAACCCCGTCCCGGCTAACCGTTTAAATGTGTTATATGTAGTTTTTTGCGACCTTTCGAATGATGTAAGTCATTTGTGTTAGAAATGTATTCGAAGAAACAACATTCGAAGAAAAACGTGTCGGCAGGAGCCCACAAGAAATTTTAACGCGGCCAACATTCAGAAACGTACTTACTAGCCATCAGAGCACAATATGAAGGCAAAATGGAATTGCCCCTCGATATGGTGAGTTTTTTCCTTCTATCTGCCTGACTATAAAACCATATTTAGGGACCGGTCATAAAGTAAAAGGGGGATGGGCTGGGAAAAATAGGGGGGTGGGTCACTATTTTTGAGCACGGTTGAAGGGGTGGGTCATCGAAAGTTAAGCGCAATTATAAGGGTGGGCCATGTAAAAATATGCAGAAGATTGGGCCCCAGTCATTTTTTTGTGTTAAAAATTTCCGCGCATAAAACAAGTTATCTGTTTTTTTGGGCTAAGTACCGAAATTTGGTATGAAAAATTAAGATAAAGTCCTTGGAAAGCAATTGCAACGTACTCGTCCGGAAAAATTTTTTACCTAAAAAAGTTGTCGACGGGGGGTTGGGGGTTGGGGGATGTCCGAAAAACATTTTTTCCGGAAAAAATTGGAAAAGGGGTGGGTCATAATTTTTCAGCACCAATTTAAGGGTGGGCTACAAATTTTCGTGCAGCTATTAAGGGGTGGGCTACCAAAAGTGCAGACACCAAATATATGATTCTCCCAGCCCACCCCCCTTTTACTTTATGACCAGTCCCTTAGCAGTTAGTGCGTGCATTGAAGACTGGAAGGCGAAAAAGTTCCTCACAACTTGACACATTTTAACGTCTGTAGGAGGAAAGGCATTTCACATGATTTCCTAGCGAAACAAACCTTGAAATGAGTGTGTTTATAAATGTGACCTACTGACCTGTGTCTCAATGCAATGATACAACAACACAGGAACCGGAACTTGGAACTGATACTATTTTTCAAAGGGATTTTTCAAAGATATATCTGATGTTACGAGCCGGTCCCTACTATTTTGTCTGGCCGCTCTGGTCCTATTTACTCGCAACAAAAGAATGTAAATCTAAGCATTTTACCTTTTGATATATATATATTATAGTAGAAAGCATTAGTTATATTAATTAAGCTACATGACAATATGGTTAATTAGGCTATATGTTAAAACTTATCTGTCCGAGTGAGCATTGCAACTTGATATAGCAACAGTTCATATTCGTAATAAATCATAGTGACCATAGTCCAGAAGATATCCATGTTGTTTTCTTTCTACGTTAATCAGCGCGTTAAAGCAGCTTCGTCTTCAGCCATGGAATACTCTTCCTTAATCCTTCATCATTTCTCTATTTTAAATCATAATGCTAATAATCATAACGTAATCAATCATGTTCACTGATGCGTGAAGCTACTTTTATAGTGTTGGTCAGAGGATGACTTTGCCATCTTGACGCATTTCCCATACGCAATGCTGCGGTCGTTGGTGCAAAGTTCTCTAACCACACTCATGTCCGTTGACGTTATTTGTGGACAAGGCGTTTACTCTAATCTTTAGAACTATTTGCTTACTCATGCATGTAAGCTATAATATAATAATTAAGTTCTCAATTTAGCTTGAGAGCCTGTTCGCAGGCTATAATTAAGTATGAGCTATAGTATAATATAATAATAGTATAATAATATTTAATATATGTAAAATTACATGATAATAGCCATCATGTAACACTGAGAAATACTGATATGTACCTTAATTAAAAACCCAAAAATAAAAAGAGATTTGTCATTGTTCATTCGACTATCACACGAAGTAAAACGTTTTTAGAGCCCCGTTTCGTTTGCGTCTTAATTGTCTTATTATAGCACTATATATGCAGCCATAATTATTATATAGTAGAGAGTGAGATACTGGTAAATACGCAGTGACATATTGTCCATATCTTCACTAGTGAGGATATCGATCACGTGACTTTTAGTATTTATACAATTTTTTGCTTCGGACTATATAATAAACAGAACATTACACGTTGGCTTGAAGATATGACTTTTATCTTCTCGTGTTAAACACAATATTTTACTCACTCGCTGCGCTCGTTAGTAAAATATTGTTTTCACCACTCGAAGATAAAAAGTCATATCTTCAAGCCAACGTGTAATATCCTCTATTTATATGCCTGTACATTACATACCCTCATACATTCCCTACATACCCATCATGCCGCCTCATTTGTAGCCAAGGTTGATGTTCAGCCAAGGTTGATTTTTAGTTTCTAGTCAGTACGGCCAGCAGCTAGCATTGTTTAAAATTCTAAATTTTATATAAAAATACCACATTAGAATGCATTCTTTCAACGTGATTCGCAGGCTTTGCGCGGTCTTTGTATTATTCATATTTTTGTACGCATGCAAATAAAGCACACACTACTAAATTTTATTTGCCTGTTACTGAAAAAGTACTTCTCTTTCTTTACAAACAACCCACAATCCCTCGAAGCAGAACGTTTTTCAGATACCTATATATTGCCTTGACGGCTTGAACGTTCTCAGCACGCTGTTCGTAGTCGTTCAAACTGCTCCGTTATTTTATTAGGGACCTTTAGGGACCTTACGATGTGAGACGGCAACGTGACGTCGACGGTTATTCACACAATGAGATTCATAATATTTAAGAACAAAAATGAATAACTAATATCCCACGGGAGTTTGAGACGTCGTGCACGGTTTGTTTACAACGCCGGGAAACTACAGACTTTTACGTCTTGGATAAAACGCCTGCATTTCAAGACGCGCGAGAAATGATATACTCAGCAAATTAGCTCCGTACTACAGTAGAACTTTCTCAACAATAAAGCCACTATTTCAAGCTAACCAAACAGTGTTAAATTGATACGATCAACAATAGTCTACAAACTTTCTTTACAATCGTTTATTTGAATGATTTTATTCTGGCCGTTGTCGTCGCGTTGCCGTCCTACATCGTAAAGGCTAGTTTCCACTCAGGAAAATTATCCGTGGCATCGTCAGAAATCGTCACCACGCGAATTAATTATACTCGTCCCACGCTACTTCAGTGCGCGCGATATATAACAAAAATAATAGGAAAACATATACAAGGCAACATTTATTCTTCAAATACAGATTTTTAGTACGATTTGAACAAATTGTGAACCTCATACGTGAATAAGAAACTTATAATCTAAGTTAGAGTCCAAAATTTTGTTGGCAAACTTTAAAAAGCGTATTTACTTTTACAACGTGAAGTTTGTATGCCAGAAACGCGAGACCGGCTAATATAAACCCTATTAATTTGATAAAATATGTCAATTTAATTTCCATATTTAAACGAAATGATAGCGCTAGGGAAAAATGTGAACCTCAGGCGATTAAATTCAATATATTATCTGTATACTCAAAGACTGTTTACCTTGATAATGTTTAAATCGACATTTACTTTTTAAATCCAAAGTTACGCATTTGATAACATAATGGCAATAGCCAGAATCGCATTCGATATATTACCAAAATTCGGACGATGATAATTTGGAAAGTATTTGGTGTAAACGTTCGCCTAGCACATCAAATTAAAGCTTGTAAGCAGTAGAATTCAGATCTCGAAGCTCGGAGATCGAATTCAACAAGGCTCGAGCATATTTTAACGCTAAAGAACGCTGCCCAGTAGAACTTTGGCACATCTTTCATCGAGCCCAAGATGAATACGATCAGCGGACTGAACCTTGAGAAATTCCCCGCCGATTGGCGCGAGATTTGACTTATAATATACAAACAAAGAAAACAAATGTCGGAGGAATGGGCCAATTGCGGAATTGCTAAGCATCATGGTAGTTTAGTTACACAGCAGAATTTTTCAACATGGCGCTTATACTTTTCGAACGAGGGAAGGTGCTAAACACATGAGAATTGCAAGAAAACGTTTATCATTTTCGCTTCGATTAAAGTTTTGACGAAATCTGTACGACTTGTTTCATATTTCTACTTCGTCTTGGACTTCTACGAGCGAGTGCGGTTGAAATATTTAACATGGCGTACAAAGTCACTGAAGCGGGGAAGGAGTTCGATTCGTAGTAGTCAGGAACAAATTTTTGAATATTTCACAACATGAAGGTGAGTACTGCATTAAATTATTTTCGAAAGAAGGAACACGTTGTAAACTATTATTTGCCTAAAAATTTTAATGATCGGTTTAATTCTAGCAACTCGAGAGACAAAAATGTTTGCACACTTGACCGTCCCAAAACAACAGATGTTTGATCAAACGTTCGTTTCACAACCACAAAACATTGAGGGTGTTTGGCGCGAAAAATCAAAACAGTTACTGTTTGAAATACCGAGCTTTCACATTTCAAAGGTTTTCAAAGATTTATAAAGTACTTTTAAGTACTATTCACTGCTGTTCAAGTGTCTTATTGGAGTTTTTAACTACAACATTTTTACGCGAGTCAAATTTAAAGCAACCTCGCTTGTTTTGAGTATATTTTGGAAAGTTTCGAGCCGTTTGGTTTGCTGTTTGTTTGGATAAATATGGCAAGTGACACGGAAAAAGTGCTAAAGGTAAAATGTACAGGGGAACGACCTGTTGTGTGCCACTTTGTCGAAGCGACAGTGTTCAAAATTCGGAATTATCCTTCCATAAATTTCCTGTGAGAAATATGGCTGAATTTTATATTGAGAATACAAAGTGAACCTTTTATAAAAAAGCCACGAAGTGTGTTTCTTACACTGAGAAATCTTTTAGTGCATTGCCAACTCTCGTAAAATATCATGTAGCCAAACCGTTAACAGTAGCCAAGGCAGGGAACATATATAATTATAGACAGCTAGTGAGACTGAACAACCCAGTTTGAACAACAAACGACTGGCATTGATACACAAGAGTCAACCAATGAAAGATTAAAAACTGAACATGCAGCTTTACAGTTATCATCTAAATACGAACAGTGTGTATATTGCGAATAGAACATGTACTTGCCAGTGACACAAATTTTAAATTCTATACAGGTTTTCAAAATTATGCAACATTTAAAGTTTTCTTTGACTTTCTGCAAGCACCATGTAATTTCTTAACTTATGCTGGTTCGAGTAACAATGTAGAATACTCGGCAGAATAAAAAAGCTGCGGCGAAAAAGATCAATGTCGCCTACTGTACGTTGTGGTCTTATATGGGTTGACATATTGCTCTCTGAATTGGCATTTCACAGCACATGTTTCTCGTACATATATGGGCTACTTGGTTAGAGTTTCTCTATCACAAGTTAGGATCATTACCCATCTGGGCATCACAAGATTATACAACAAACTATGCCACAGCCTTTCAAAAAAACCTACCCAAATACCCGTGTAATTATTGATTGTACAGATTGAACAACAAATTGAAATGCCAACATCATTTAGAAGTCAGTCTGCATTTTTGAAAATGGGCACTTCACCTCACCTATCCCAAATGTTGTTGGCTCTGCATAATTATATAACAAGCAGTCTGGTTTCACCAAGCCATGGAGCTTCTGTGTTAACAAATAACCCACACTGAACACATGCAGTCATTACACATGCAGTCATTATCAGTTCATCCTGAATTATTTTGCTCTAAATGTTTTTCAATGGCAATCTGCTCATTACGGTTGCCCCACTTGACATTCTTTACATTGCTTGCTGGCAAAAGGATTTTGCTAAGAAGTGATGTGAGGAAAACATTTTCTCTTCATTTCATTGCCGTACTGAAATGTGAGGTAGTTACAGTAGACGACCTCGTTGTTCATGAAACCAAAGTTTGCTCTGTGACTGACCTCTTGTATTGCATTCAATGTCAACCATTTGTTCTTTGGGTGAAAAAAGAGTGTTTCGAGTATCTGGTCTATATACTCCGGAGAAGGCAAATGTTTGCACACTGCTGCAAAGGCAAATGTTTGCACACTGCTGCTAGGAACAGTAAGTTGTTCCAGTATAGATGTTCAAATTTTGTATTGTACATTTGATTTGCAAATAGGTTTGCATTATTGAATGCCTTTTTTGAAGGCAATTCCTCAACAAATTCTTGATATTGGAAAGGTTCACAATTGTTGGATACTAAAGGCCCTGCAAATAATCACAAGTGCCAACAGTTTTCAAACCGGTCTTCACGTTTTCTTAAGTCTTCAACATTTACATGTTTAGCAAAAGCAGATGCTGAGTTGTTGTAGTTTGCTGTGCAATGTTTTTTCTGTCTTGAAAGTTGCCTTGCTTATTTTTACTTTGTCGAAAAGCACTGCAGTATCAAGTTTCTCATTAGTAAGTTCAGTGACTGTCAGACTGTGTACATGTTAAATCATGTGGGACTTCAGTTTAATAATTGAAGTTGGATATTGAGTCCAAAATTTGAAATAGCAGGGCAGCTACATGTTTACAGCAACGGAACCACCTGTACAAGTGCAACTTGCACAAGATATTTAACCAGTGTCTTAGACCTACAGTAGGTGAACATATATTCCATAGTGTGCCTTTTTCATGGAGGCATGCACAACACTTTTAATTAATTAAACAGGAAAGATGTTTCTGTGCCTTTCAAAACATTAGCCTTAACTACAACCTTGGTAACCATTTTATCTTTGAACAGTTGATAGCCATATTTTTATGCTTGTGAGCATTTGCATGGTCCAAGTTTACTGCGTAGTCAGTTATCAAATGTTCCTTCAGTAATGCATGCATGGGTATTAAAATACCACTGAGGTTTCTTGTCCACTGTATTCCTTACTCCATATTTACAAACAGCAAACCAAACGGCTCGAAACTTTCCAAAATATACTCGAAACAAGCGAGGTTGCTTTAAATTTGACTCGCGTAAATATGTTGTAGTTAAAAACTCCAATAAGACACTTGAACAGCAGTGAATAGTACTTAAAAGTACTTTATAAATCTTTGAAAACCTTTGAAATGTGAAAGCTCGGTATTTCAAACAGTAACTGTTTTGATTTTTCGCGCCAAACAACCTCAATGTTTTGTGGTTGTGAAACGAACGTTTGATCAAACATCTGTTGTTTTGGGACGGTCAAGTGTGCAAACATTTTTGTCTCTCGAGTTGCTAGAATTAAACCGATCATTAAAATTTTTAGGCAAATAATAGTTTACAACGTGTTCCTTCTTTCGAAAATAATTTAATGCAGTACTCACCTTCATGTTGTGAAATATTCAAAAATTTGTTCCTGACTACTACGAATCGAACTCCTTCCCCGCTTCAGTGACTTTTGTACGCCATGTTAAATATTTCAACCGCACTCGCTCGTAGAAGTCCAAGACGAAGTAGAAATATGAAACAAGTCGTACAGATTTAGTCAAAACTTTAATCAAAGCGAAAATGATAAACGTTTTCTTGCAATTCTCATGTGTTTAGCACCTTCCCTCGTTCGAAAAGTATAAGCGCCATGTTGAAAAATTCTGCTGTGTAACTAAACTACCATGATGCTTAGCAATTCCGCAATTGGCCCATTGAAAAAACAAATAAATACTCATTGAATTGATTAACTTTTCGTAAATTCAACTAAAAATTTCCCGCCAATTTGTATTTTCACATAAAATACTGCTGAAATATCTCGGGCGCCGTCCAATAACCTCTGCAGATTACTGTTTCCGCTGGAAATAGCGCAGGCACCTACATATACCCAAAATTATTTGTAGGCTCTTAGCCAATGAAAAACCGAGAACACAGTACAATGAATAATTAACAATTATTGGATGAGGTTTTTGTGATATGCGGAATTATCAAGGTCGAGGTAAGCGTTATCAGCCGAGCCGAAGGCGAGGCTGATAACGCTTACCGAGACCTTGATAATTTTGCATATCGCAAAAACCGAATTCAATAATTGTTTTATTATACATTTGAAGAATGATAAACATAGTATTTTAAATAATAAAACAATTATTGAATTCGGTTTTTGCGATATGCAAAATTATCAAGGTCTCGGTAAACGTTATATTCAATATGATTTCTGGCAAAGCTGTTCAAGTAAAACGTTTCTATAAACAAGTCACCGGAAGTCCAACAGTTAAATTAATTACAAATATAAAAGAAACATATTATCGTTAAGATGTTAACGTATTAAAATATTTACTTGTTAAAGTAAACATTACAATTATGAAATGTACATTCATTTGAAAATTGGAATGTACACTCATTTGAAATGTACACTCATTCAATTTCACGCAACCTACACAAAATTCAGTTATCTGCTAGCAGATAACTCAGTTATCTGCTAGCAGATAACTGAATTTTGTGTAGGTTGGGTGATTGCGCGATTTAACTGTTAGCTCTTAGCCAATCAAATTGCTTTTACCAACTACAATGTATAATAATAATTGTTAATTGTTTGTTTGTATGTACCTACCCAAGAAAAAGTCCAAAATCCAGGTTTCGGGCATGGTAAAGTTCACCTAAACGAAAAATTAATTATGGTTCTTCTCAGTTCAGTATTGGATTGGTAAGACTTTTAAGCTGGTGGCCAGCCTCGTCCCCGGCACGTCAAGGTCTCTCGGGAGAAACACGCGTGGGCGGGAGAAGGGGAAAATGTGAAATTCGGAGCTGCGCGTCGCAAACCCCAGGCACGTACTGGAGCCTGGGGACAAGGCTGGCTGGTGGCTATAACCAGCTTAAGACAACAGGTAGGCAATTTGTCGACGCTGACCAAAAATAGCGGCTTATTTCTTCTTGAGTTTCCATTTTCGTGTCGAAAGTCGAAGAGCAAAAATATACACCTTCGGAGAATATTTTAGCTGTTTACTATCAAATATGTTTGTGAAACAGTTGATAATATTACTGAGGAAGGCCAACGGTTTCTGAAAAGCTAAAGTACGTCGAAATCAGCTTTGGAATAGACTATATTTTCACCGGGGAAACATGAACAAAATGGATATTTACATCAACACTAAATTTTTGCTTGTGCCCACAGAGCTAGTTGGATTAAAACAGATGTTAAGAAGTGAAAATGTGAACTTTGTGAATTATACTTTCATTAAAATGTTTGAGAAGGTCTGCTAATGTCAAACTACACGTGTGACAGAGCTGTCAGTATACCCACATTTCAATGTTTATGTTGAAATGACCCATCTTTGAGGTATAGCTTAAAATTTAGGGTATGCTCATCACTTGAAACTAGCTTTAAATCAAATTTTTATCTATAGTCTTTATATTAGAATTAGAATTAAAATCATTCATGGGAAAAATGTGCCCAAGGGTTGAAATTTCCCTTGTAAATGTACACTATTTTTGACATGCTTGGTTTAGTATTTTGAAAAGGTGTTCTGGAAGGAAAACATGTCTTGAACAATACTGGTTGGCCCTTAAATTATAACTAGTGTTATGTAAATCACAGAAAATTGAAAAAAAGTCTGGTCCATACACAATATGCTGGACCCTATGAGGTCCCGAATGGGGCTTATTTCAATGTTGAATCTGTTTACCTGGAAAAACTTGGAAAATTGAATAAGTCAAGAATTTGACTATGCTCATCACCCAAAACCAGGTTTTTCTAACTGCTTTTTCACCTGGGTTTGTGGCAGTGCCAGTTATGCGACCACGAAAAATGTGCGCGGCACATTTTTTGGACACTGAAGATGGTAACATTTGATGTTGTCAAATATTGCGTAGCATTACTTAACTTATTTTAGTGAGTTTGTTAAAGAGTTGTGTTGACTATATGCTTGTAGTATCTAAGATTTTTTCATAGCATTATATGATAAATTTAAGTTCTGTTTTCTTTTATTTTTAGGTGATAGTATCTGTTCACTCGAGTGTTGGTATCAAATTTTGGACAAGTTTCAATTATTACTTCACATTCCTTTATTCAATATCCAAATAAATGGAATATGATATCAAGCTGGAGGACTAGATCCTGTTTTCAAACTTGTCTTTTGTAAAAATAGAAAATAACAACTTATTCTGTGTTGTTCTAATAAAAACCATTGTTTTTTATATGCCTATATTTTAATTTTATTCTTTGTTAAAATGTGTACCAGGAACACTGAAATCTTTCAGATCAGCTAACAATACCTTTATAACTTATATAGCCAAGTGTTCTATCTATTTTTGTTCAGATTAAACAAATAATGGGTAAAATATTAGATAAGATTTATTCAAAAAATATGAGCTTGCTTGTTTTCAAAGCATAAAAAGCAATAAAATAAAGCAAAAGTAGTTATTTTTAATTTAAAACCTTTGGAACAAAGTTTTCGTCCATTAAAATGTTGTTTTATCAGCTTTAAAACCAGATAAATCCACGAAACACTCCTAATATATGTCGCCATATTGATTTTCTGCGCGCATGCTCAGACAAATTGCCTACCTGTTGTTTAAAACCATTCTCGTACCCAGAGCCCTTCTTACGCGCGGTGCGACGAGGGGCTCTGGCCAAATCCATATCCGAACTGGAATCTAATTGGCTAGTTCTAACACCGGACATTGTTTTCTTACCATGTTTTTATAGTATCCGGTTTGGGTACGAGAATGGCTTAAAACGTATGAAAAGTCGAACGAACGTTTCTGCTTTCATATGGACGAGAATTTTATTACCGTTGGAAATTTTAGACAAATTTACAGTCGATTTCACAAAACTGTTGCGAAAATATTCCAAAATTCGATTCATGCCGAAGTTCAAAAGTTCAGATTTTCAAATTCACCAACCTTTGGGCGTCTCAGCAACAATTGATGTACACACTGTAAAGACTTCGTAAAATATGTTGTACAGAACAACCTCGCCTGAAAAACAGAAAATAAACAAAGAGACCGTTCATTCATTGCCCATATCTGAATTGGATTAGTAACGAAGTTACGAACAGAGAGTTGTTTGGCCATTCTTCGTACAGTCTTAAATAATTTTCTTCACCAGCAATTTGCTTCACATTTGCAGTAAATAAACATTTAAATAAACTACAAGTTGGTTTTATAAGAGCCTATCGAATGAAGATGGCTGTGAAACTCATTATAATAACAATATATAACTCATTATCTATATTAGTCAACGTTTATTCATAAATCTGGTTCTTCACCGTCACGTGTGTATTGTACTTTTGCCCAACTAACCAATAGCAATGTTTTAGGAATGTTACCTATCCGTGACTCGAACAATAGGGAAAATGGAAATTGCTATTGGTGGATTTGGCAAATTTAAATATACTGCTACACACGTAAAAACGCACAAGTTGTTACAGGTCTACAATCAAGTTGCTACAAATCTGTTCACAAGCTGCCGACAAGTTGTGTTCGCACTGCTTGTTCCTAGTTGTTGTAACAAGTTTGGAACAAGCTGTTAACAACTTGTAACAAGCTTGATGGCATTATCAGACTTGTTGCAAGGTTGTTCTACCAAGTCTGATACAGTCATGATATAACAAGAATGTTACAATGTTGACGACACAAGGTTGTTACAACATTGTTTTTATCATGACTGTAACGGACTTGTTGGAACAACCTGATAATATCAACAAGGTTGTTACAAGTTGTTAACATTTTGTTCCAAACTTGTTGACAACTTGAGACAAGCAGTGCTAACACAACTTGTTGACGGATTGTTGGCAGACTTGCCACAAGATGTGAGATTTTTACGCGTGTAATCGTCCCACATACGTGAATGGACCTTTCACCTTTTGACTGAAATTTAGATTTCAACAAGTGTAGACAAAAATTTTATCACAGCTTGAAAGAGCATCACAAAATTAGTAATATTCCGAAGTTTCGTTGCGAAATGTTGTAAAATGCGTATAATATAGCCTTGCGAAGTTTGCAATTTTCAGTCATTTTAGATTACAAACGAGAAAAACATACCCTTTTTTCGAAGGAGGTATCTATTTCCCGCGCGTAATACAAAATGACTGAAAATGACAAACTTCGCAAGGCTATATTATCCGCATTTTACAACATTTCGCAACGAAACTTTGGAATATTACTAATTTTGTGATGCTCTTTCAAGCTGTGATGAAATTTTTGTCTAGACTTGTTGAAATCTAAATTTTAGTCAAAAGGTGAAAGGTCCATTGAATAGGCTATGCATGCAGTGTAACATAGTTATATTCATGACATTATACCATATATGGACAAGCAGACTAGAAAGAGAGCACGTAACTAGAAAGAAAGCACGACATGCACGAATATAAGATAACTGCGGATTGCGAGAGTTACAACTACATTGAGTAAAGATTTAATTTACTCAAAAATGAGTAAATGTGCTCACAAATTTGAGTAATTTTACTCAGCTTTTGAGTCACTGTGCATGGGTGCAAATTTTTGAGTCACATTTTTTGCAGTGTACAAGGGAGATATTATACACACTACATAAAGTAGCCTTGGCTAAATTGGAAAAATTTCTAAAATATTTATTTAATTAATTATTACAAGTTATTACAATTATCGCATCACAAAATACCAAAGTTGATTGAAAAACTTACCAAGGGGAATTCCTGTTGCTGCTGATATTCCTTTAAGTTCACGACCATATGGATCAGGCAAGGTTGTGACAATTGCAGGCTGTTGAAAAGAAATATCGCAAAAAATACATGGTCGGATTTTTATGTCAAACCATTCAATAAGATATATATGTATTTACTGTATAAGGGTTGACAACAAATAAAATTTACATTACCAGATATTCGTTGATGTAATCAAACAATTTCCCATTCAAGACAAAATTTGTAAAGTTCTTTATTTCTTGCAGAAGGTTAAGCAACTAGAAAAAAAAACCCGGTTATTTTCGTCAGATATACGTGCATGCATGCATGGGAGTTCATTGTGCTGTAGGCGCCTTATATATATATTATATATAGTATAGTATTCTACAGTAAATTTAAAGATAGTTTAACTCGCCATTAATTCAACAGCGCCTGAAACTTCGTTCACTTGTTAAAATATATTTCGAAGCTAGAAGTTTGTACATAACTTACGATAGCAACATTCGAACAATATTTTTTATGCACATTTTTAATCGTATTTGGAAGAAATGTACGATCTGACTAGATGAATATGTACAGTAAGCAGAAAAACTACTGTGCCTGTGGTAACAATCGTGAAAGCACTGCATGGCCAACCTTTGCAGTTACGTTTAGCTAGCAATTTCAAAAATTTTAATCTGCAAAAAATAACATAACTATTAAATTTGTGAAAAATATCAGATTGTTCAATTTCAATAGTTCGTCCAAGAAAAATGGGGAAGTAGATCAGTGTTGATGGATGATGGCAGCACATATAAAACATATTTGTCTGCTTTTAGACATGCAAAACAATGGCAGTTGACTTGCACTTCAATTTAGCTCAGCTATATAATCAGCACGAGAATGCCACTTAAGGGACACGAAATTCACACCAGAATTCTTCTAATACTTAGGGAGTGGTCATTATTTATGGGGAGGGGGAGGTTGGGAAATGGGGAAAATAAGGATTGAAAACTTTTTTGACCCCCCCCAGACTGAAGGCAAACTTTTTGTGCCTCCCCCCTCATAAAAGTAGAAACTTTTCTGACCCCCCCCCAGTGTGGATTGAAAAATTAACAGCAATGAAACAAGTGTGTGTTGCAGGTAAAGTTAAATATTAGGACAATCTGTTTAATCTAGCTCATGATGTATTACCCTGGTGAATATGATGATTCAACCATATATGATTAAAAAATATATATTATGTGTTACTACTTTGCAATGCAACATTTGTCCTACCCTAACCCTAACCCATGACCTGTCTTCATATAGCGAAATGATTTGAACACAGGGTTTTTTTGAGAACTTGTCTGGGGGGTGGGCATCTACAAAAAGGGACCATACTATATTGAGTGCGGAGAGATGACAGATGGTTGTTGGTGACAAAAAGTTTGGTATGGTATCGTATGTATTAGTAGGGGGGTCTGGGGTATTCTCCCCCAGAAAATGTTTTGTATTTTTCCACCCCTAGAACTGAAATGTGAGCATTTTCTGAAACAGATTTTTGGATATACAGCGTTATATTGTGCGTTGATAGACTAAATCTGATCAGTTAAGTGTACTTGCATGATATGTTTATGTAAATACCACAACTGGGTCACTCAGGGGATAGAAAGCTTGTTAAACTTAGTGGGCCTGACTCCCACGATTGCGAGGCGCTACCATGGTTGGCGCCGAGCAGGGAAATTTTGAAAATTTTGAGTCTCTAGAGTCTAGATCGTTACAAATAGCATTTTCAGAGTCTTCTATTTTGCTATTTGAGATTATAGAAATCAGAACTCTAGACATGGTATTTAAGTTCAAAAACTTTTATGACCCCCTTTCTCTGTGTTAAAACTTTTTTGACCCCCCCCATATTTATAAGGGTAAAACTTCGTTTGCCACCCCTCCCATTTCCCAACCTCCCCATAAATAATGACCACTCCCTTATAGGAGTCATTTCCTAACTCAGGTCTAAATGTCGCGGACTAATTTTATTCAATTGCTGACTTTTTTTGTTCTGCTTAAATTAATACCCTGACTATACGTAGCATTATACCTGCGGTTTCATTTTCACCGTGATTTCTTTCCATCTTTCTTCCGGCTCCAAATCAAGATTGATCACAACATCATCCACTTTGTCTCTATAGCAACAACACCAACACGATGTTTGCATTTCAGCCTGCACAAATGGCTTAGGAATATACCCGAGGGAAGGATAAACCCGCAACCCCGAGGATGCAAGCCAATTGGCCTGCAAAAATACTGTAACAGTCGTTCATGAACGGTTTAAGCTGGCCTTGCCCGCCGAAGTGGGACAAATTAAATATTTCTGTGTTAATTTTGTATATTTTCTACAATCAGTGACAAAATACGTGGACCGGTTATGCTGAGATTGCAGCCTAATCCCCCTATACCTCCCTGTTCAATGTGGTTGGACTAGAATATTTATATTTGGATGTGAATTTTATTTCCTCATCCAAATCATTCCATGTCTTTGGTCCTTGGAAACGATTCGGAAGCGAAAATTTTCCGTAATTCGTCCCAACTATAGGGATACAATAAGAATTTTTAGAAGCTAGACAATTCCAGGTTTTAATTTATGCGCGCAGGGGGTAACGGGAAGTATGGCGGCAGGTACAAAACGCAGGTTGCAGGTTGGAATTTTGCAGGTTGGTAATTTTGCAGGTTGGTAATTTTGCAGGTTGGAATTTTGCAGGTGGGGATTTTGCAAGTTGGAATTTTGCAGGTTGCCAGGAATTTTGCAGGTTGATGATGCAAACTTAAAATTACACCACTATAATGTATTCTAGTATAATTTAATTGTGTACTTATTGCAGTCTGACTCCTTGTCGGCACTTTTGATATCAGCCTATCCTGCTACCATGTTCCTAGCCTCTGGTCTAAGGAATGGCCATCACCCTTGTGAAAACATTCAAAATGACCAGATTGGCTTGGACTTTCAGGGGGACGGATGTTTCGATTGTTGCGAGGAGCCTACATGACGTGGTGGCAGTTCAGAAAATGCCTGAATGAGGTGTCTCTCCTCTGCACCCACTTATTAAAAGTCCACTCAAGTCTTAAAAATTAGTCTTAAAATAAGTCTTAAAAATTATGTTTTAACACATGCCACTTTACAGTAAAGTGGCATGTGTTAAAGCATAATTTTTAAGACTTATTTTACAAATAAAGCAAACTAGCTCGACTTTTATTTTCGCCTCTCTTGACAAGGTGTTGTGCCAAGTAAGTCCTGCAGGCTGGCCGCTTAATAGAGGTAAAAATTGACATAAAACAACATTTGGGACCGCTCTTTGGGTGGCCGCGGCCGCTTAATAGAGGTGGCCGTTTAATAGAGGGATAGTTTATAGTATTTGTATTACAAAAATTTCGGGACTTCGATATGTGGCCATTTAATAGAGGGTGGCCGCTTAATGGAGGGCCGCTTAATAGAGGTTCGACTGTATTTATTATTTTTATTTTTTGCAGCATAATCAGCAATATACCTTACTCCCCTGCCCCTGCATAAACTAAAGCTGGAATTGCCTATAGTGTGTTTCATTTTAACAGGTACAGTATAGGAACATTGTTTTGAAAGACACTGGCAATTTATCATTATGAAAACATGCATGAACAACATATTGTAGAGGAAAACTAAATCTGGAAGTTTCAACTTAACAAATTCAGATTTTTAAATAAAAGACCTGGTACAGTATGATTATCAAAACTAGAGAATGTTATTATACGTACATCTCTCTTTTGGAACAAAAACAAAGGCTGCAGCGTGGAAGTGTATGTGTGCTACTGTGGAAGTGTATGTGTGCTATTTTACGTCTGTGTTCTGTTATATATTCCAAATACACAAACCATTAAAATCAGCTAAATATTTTAATTGCCTCCCTTGCTGGCACGCAGTTACATAATAACAAAGGGAATGGACTCAGAGAGCGCTAAATATTTTTCGGGTCTGACTAAAGAAACCAGACATGCTATTGTGTCTGTACTAATATAGTTAGTTTATATAGGATGTGCGCAACATCATGCAAACAACTTTTCTCAGGTATTTTCCAAGGTGACATGGTCTATAATTTTTTAAGAATTCTTATCACACATATCATGCATGTCAAAAGATGCTATAATTGTTATTTTGGTGTTCTTTTCCCGTATTTACTCCTATTATTTTAGCAGGCACTTTTCCATAGACTCGCACATGCGCTTGCCATCTGTTGGAATAGGAGTATACTGCAAATACTGTATGTACAAAGACTTACTTAATAGGTCCTGGGTAAGCACCTGTTTCGCATTTTGTTTCTTCAACCTAAAAGAATAATATTCTGCATGATAACTGCACACTAACAAAACAGTGTTTAAATTACAAGTCTATAGGCATGGTCTTGGCCAGGTTTTTGTAGCCTGTGTCGCATACCTCAAAACACATGTATGTGACGCAGGCTAGGTTTTTGCTTCTCTGATTAGCTGTCTAGCTAGTTTAACCAGCTTTAAACCATTAAGTTGCATTGTGCCCTTAAATGCGCCATACTTTATCATATTACTCGGCCTAACGCCAAACGGTTTTACTCGTCAAGGGTACAAAAAGTTTAAAGCTGTGAAATGCAGCACTAATGACTAATGACATTGAGTAGTGATAAACACAACTGTTAAATCTATTAAGTGGTCTTCTAAATATGGAATAACATTCCATGTTTTCCATCCATTGTTTTTCACTGATATATGGAAATATGTGGAATGCAACCCGAGGTGAAGTGGTGAATCTTGAGCCGGGCTCAATCCTGTCCAGGGGTAATCCGATGCCAGCGGTATATATTTAAATTTTCTTGACCCAGATTAGGATGTTCCCAGCTCGCTCGCTGGTCACAATAAGTGCCAATTTCTCGCTAATAACCTGGGGCTGGTTGTTCCACCGGATAGTACTGTCCACTGGATAGCACTGTCTATCGGATAGCGACTTTTTGAAAAAATCAATAAATACATTATCTGGTGCATAGCGCTATCCAGCCTTCGTGCAACTGGCCCCAGCGGTTTAATAAATATATGAGAATGATACTAATGTTCACTTGGTGCTTTGGATCTATATATAATTTAGAGACAACTCTTTAGAAAATGTCTGCATTCATGAATATAATTATAGCTAATTTAATTTAAGGTTGTTCTTTCAAAGTCAAAACCCTCGACCTCTAAGTGCGAAAAGCACGATGGATTTGCATACAATATGTAATTCATATACTTCCCATAGTGCGTAGTTAACATGCATGCATAAACAATCTCATAATAATAAACACGCCCATTGTGGGATATACAGTTTGATATATACATTATCAGACAGACTATCTTTCTTTCCGAGTTTGCGCACAAGTTTCCAGTGTTTTATTTTGAGAGAGCAACTCAATAATTTGTGAGTCACGTGCACAATTCTAGGGGTCTGGTGGTGCTCCCGTGGATTTTGGCTCTCTGAAATGGCATTCCTTGCATTGTGCAAGCACTTGGAGAAAAATGTAAACTTAAGGTCTTAATAGGGCAAGATTCAGATTCAGTATATTTCGTCTGGACAATAGACATAGTCACATAGGATTAGAGCTTTATATTTAGAACAAAGTGCAGTAGATTCCGTGTAGATAATACTAGATGCAGCACTGCCTGCTGACAATTCTCCACACCCTCTCCAATTTTTCATCAGATTTGAACAAATCTAAAACTATGCTCTGAACAACATTGGAGAGTGGCCACCTTCCCCCCTGACAGTACAGTGCCACTGCCAGCCAATGCTTTCAAGACGTTTTACTGTAGCTGTAGTTTTAGCTGATTTAGATCAAGTTAGGTTTATCGCCTTTCATCCCATTCAAAACATTACTAGTTACAAATCAGAAGAACAAATAGACAGTATAACTTACATGAATGTAAATTACAAATGTCAATAGCAAGGTACGTACTTTGTCATAGCAAATAGAAAAATATAGTTTGCTATGTTTTTGAAACCATAGCAGTACTCAGTAGTGGACTAGAGTGCTGGTACTCAATAATGGGTTAATCAGACATCGATCTGCCTATGTGTCTAGTTGTTATTTTTATACTCTGTCTAACATCAGACAATATTACTCATCAAGAGGAGAGTGCTGGTGCTCAATGAGTTCATTACCATACATAGTAGATCAATAGTTTCTAAAATGCGATATAGATTAACCAATAATAATATTTAAAAAATATTCAATAATATTATCAATGAATATATTAATGTACAGTAATACAACAGTAACCTCATAGCTTACTGTAATGCATGCACAACAATCTTCAACATTCCGTCTTAAAATATTGTTTTCTCAGTCTAAAACCCAGTTATTTTCAAAGTTCCTAGATATCTGGCAGCAAGCAGCTAGCTATTTACAGTAATATAGTAAACTGCCAGCAATATAAAGACTATAGAAAAACTGGAATTTTATGGAATAAGCTGATCACAACCCCAATCTTTCCCAACCCTAACAGGCAAAATAAACAATTCAATAGTTACATGTAAAACAAGTCGGAAAGTTTTAAAAAACATTTCAAAAAAAGTCTAGTAAGTGACAGACAAAACATACCCAGGCAAAACTCGAACTCACACACAGCTCACTTCGCAGGAATAAACACCTGGCAATTGGGCTCAAAAATAGCTTACTACGTTTCCAGTTTCCCAATCCTATCTAAGCTTTTGACTGCTCAATGCACCAACCCTGATTGAAGTGAATTCCCAACCTACCCTTGAGCTTTTTCAACAAGCGATAGGAAACCCTGCAAGTGCAAGCAATTTATGTCAAATGACCAGCAGTTCCAATAGCCAGCAGCAACTAGCCAGAAACTTTGTAGCCACTAATAGTCACTCCAGAGAATTGTACTAGCTTTAAGGATCTCAAGTCTTAAGCAAACTATACACAATAGTAGAAGTGACCCCACTGACTCGAACATTGAATTAACTCGACCTCCTTGCTAACTCATACAAATTTCATTTTCCCTTGGTCAAATTTACCTGGGATAACTTGAACTGTGTTTTTTAGATGTGGATCGGCAAACCTCAAAATATCAGAACAATTAGCACATTGACAACTTGGAAGCTTGGATTGCAATTTTAATAGACAACAACAATTGAATCAGTATGCAATATATGTCCAATGTAATACATTAGTCGATAGAGAGAAAAAAGTTCAATTATTATGTCGTAAAGTGTCGATTATTACTGACCTAGCTTGTATGTACATGTACTGTTGGTAGGTACTGTACTGTTGGTAGGTACTGTACTGTTGATTGAAGACTGGTAACAGTAGTACAGACTTTAGAAATTCTTTGTAGAGTGTACCATAGTGACTCTTGATCAATTGTGGTGATAAAACGACTATACCTTATAGTTATTAACTATAACAGCAACATAATAAACAAAATCCAACACTGACCTCGTTAATTTAAACTCAAATCCTTGCTAACTCGGGTTCTACCGTAACACCTGTGTTCTAAAAGCTCACTCACACTCAAATAGTGGAGGTTTAATCTGAGCTTCCCTTGAGTGTCAGACAGTGCAGTTTTTGAATAGCTGTACAAGGGTTATACCGTAAAGCTCCGACTATAAGACCCCCAAATATAAGCCCCCCCATGTATAAGCCCACCACATGTACTAACGCTCACCTCATTCCAAATATAAGCCCCCGCCCCAGAATATAAGCCCACTCGAATGTAAGCCCAACGAATATAGGTCCCCCAATTAATATAAGCCCAGTAATCGCTGCTTAATACATGTTTACTCCCTGTTTATGACCGACTTGTTTACGTCTGACTTGTTTATTACTAACACAAAAGATCGTCCATGTATAAGCCCACCCATATATAAGCCCCCCCCCCCCTTTTATAAGCCCATCAAAATCGCTTACGAAAGTATATAAGCCCAGGGCTTGAATATAGTCGGAGGTTTACGGCATATCATATATATATGTACGGCTCCCATATATAGGCCCCTATATGACGACCCCTGTATTGGCCCCTATAAATAGCGACAATATGACGGCTCCCTGCTCTGCAGTGACAATATCACAAATCGTGTTTGGACCAATTTTGGAAGCAAAATGCTTCAGACAAGCAGCCTTTCCTGTTATATATTTTGTTCTCCATGCTCGTATCCTTTTCACCAAACTGCACGAATTCTCGCGGCTCAACTCTGCTGTACTTTTGTGCCTTGCCCGAGACATCTGAGCTTTGGCATTGTACAACTATTTCTTCAATTTTTCCCTCTTTCAATCATTTTTCTTGCTCTTTTTTGCTTCATTTCGTCTCGTCTCGAGAATTCTGCCATTTTGAAAACATGTGAGTTTATAGTGCTTCCACTCTGCTGAAGCAAAATATCCTCTTTTCCGACCGCAATGCATATTGGTCTATGGCAGCGATAGGCCAGTGGTGTTTTTAAATTCAATTTACTTTTCCGAAAAAAATTCTTATGGCAGCGATAGGCCATAGGTAATTTTCATTTTGTTTTCATTTGTTTTTAATATCATTTCATTTTGTTTTTACATTGATTTGTTTTCAAATAAAATTATTTTTAAAATAAAAAAAAAATAAATAAAATAAAAAAAAAAAAATTAAAAAATAAATAAATAAAAATAAAAAAAATAAATAAAAATTTTATGAATTTTCTTATGGCAGCGATAGGCCACCATAGGCAGGATTCGGGGTCACTTATCCAGAACCCAATATGATAAAAAACACGATATTCTTGAGCGAAATATGCTCAAACGAAAAAGTCGAAAATTTGTAAATCACACTTGTACTTGATATACGATATCCCACAACTCATTGCGCGCGTTGCCCTTGTCTTCTAAAATACATACACCAAAAAGCGCTCCCAATCTACAGTATCGCTAGCCTGAAACTATAGGAAGCATTTATAATCTGGCCAAAAATATGATTATAAAAAAATGATGAAAATTCTTATAAGCGAATAATGAGATAGATTTTCTAAAAAAATTATATGGCAATTGCAATAATAGAATTTTTTATCGTTTAACGTATCGCATGTCATAACATTTGATAAACACATCGTAGCAAATGCTGGGTTGCACTTGCCATTTGTTTGACAAAACTGGAGAAAGCATGTTTGAACCCACATAGTATATATCATAAAACAACATGTGAATACGAATAATATTTACATTGCTGATTGCTACAAGCCTATTAGCCAAAACATGAAAATTATTTGAGAGTATTAAACTTACAATTACAATGTTATCTATCTGAATCATAAAATTGTTAACGTATCGCATGTCATAACATTTGATGCATTAACCGTGATGTCATAACATGTCGGTGATATTTACGCAAAATCTTCCGTAAATTTACACTTCATTTTTTGCGGTGGATCATACCATCTCCATTAAAGCGTAGATAGACGATTGTTGCAAATGATTTGAATTCATATATAATTGTTATTTTTCAATAGCAGCAATTCATTGGACATATTAAGAGGGTCTTAATGGGGTCTTTGGGTGTCAGTTGTCAGCTACAATTTAAGCCAATTGTCGGTTGTCAGTGCGATATATTGCAAGCTGTCAGTAGTCAGTAACTGCAAAATGCTGACATATAATTTTTTTCATCATTTCTCACTGTAGTCAGTTAGGATATTTTGTCAGTTGTCAGTCAAAAATTCAGGCAAATGTCAGTAGTCAGTTAACCCTATTCAGACCCTCTATTAAAATTCGTTGTGATATCCGCCATGTTGAAACTGCGACAATTCAGGACAGAGCCGTTCAGCTTCAAATTTGACAAAAAAGTGAAAGATATACAATATTACAACTAGGTTTATTCAATTCAATATCATATCTCGTTTTAGCCATGCAAAAGTTGCCAAAAGGAAGGTTTTGATATATGCGATAAATAATATTAAAACTTCATTTCAAGATTGCTTTTCTAATTATAAGAATATTATTCTAGGATTGAAAAATGTTATTCTTAAAATAAGAAAACAATTCTCTCGAATATTCTTGCCCAGTTATATTTTCTTACTTTAAGATTTTTGTTCTTAAAACTAGATTTTTTTTCTTGAAATATTTCTTGACAAGAAATATTTACTTAAAATAAAAAAAATAATCTAAAGAATAAGAATATTATTCTAGACTAGAATTTGATTTTTTGCAGTGAAAAATTTCAGTCATTGGTTTATCTGGATTTAGTACATAATTTGTATTCGGTAATTATAGTAAGACTTTAGCCTTTTTTTGGTCTCTATTAATCATTATATTGTGTTAACATACTATAATCTATATCACAAATTTACAGTGTCAGATGCGCACAGACCGTCATTGGCATCATACGAATACACATAAATTTTCGAGTTTTCTAGCCTACTTCTACTAACATTTTTAAAGTTTTCATTGTGAATCACATGTTTATCTCTAATTCATTAATCATTTACTACTTATATTTATTTAAAGTTTTCATTGTGAATCAGCTATTTATATCTCTAATTCATTAATAATTTACTACTTATATTTATTTGATAGTGTCAATATACTGAATAATGTGTTTACACACAAGCAATCCTTGATATGATATAGACGATGCAAGCTGTCCATTAAAAAATAACGGTATTCTATTCCACAAAGTCAAAGCAAAAATTTAAATCTCACTTGTATTATTAAGAATGCAAATACAGCAAAAAATTAAAGCTTATTCATGTCAAAACGAAAGCTGTTTACAAAATTTATAAAGGTGGTGAACACTAGTAAACAGTGTTCATTGAAAGACATGTATAATATAGTGACATATAATTTGTCGTTTGACTTATCTTGGGTGTATGATTTTAATACCGTAGATTTTCAACAGACAGCTATACTTTGAGATATACCATTATCGTTGGTTTCAGCAATGCCAAGGGCCAATTTTATAGTTTCTTTGACGGGCTTTAAGTTTTTTTGATAAGGCCTTATATAGATCAACAATCTGGATACAATCGGCGATAATTCCGAAATCAACAGATCTCACTATTTCGTTGCAATTCCACAACTCATCAATAAATAAATTCTTTTGGTCCGAGTATCAGGATAGACATTAATACTAAATAAATAACAACCACACTGTTCGGTCTAGAGATCTATATTTTCTTGTAGGTTTAATATTGCCACGCTGCAGAAGCGGCAAGCGTGCTTTCTTTGGCATGTCTATAAGTTGAATATTGAAATCTGATCCAACTTGCTTGAATTGTAACTCGACACCAGATTATAGAGTAGAGCGTCACGATATAAATATTAATTTAAGAGTTTACTTTAATACGATTTCTTGTTGCAAATTTACAGTAAATTTCATCACCCAAAGTTGCAATTTTAAAACGCTACAAAGACGCTCCTTTCCCACCCCTCTCACAGTTACAATTAAATTTACCTCCCAGAATCTGGGAGGCACGTGACCAGCCGCAGCCAGGGTCTTTCCCAGATGACAGAAGGAGAGATCCTGGGAACGAGGTTGCCGCAACGGCCAAGATAAATTAGATATTAATAGAGTCGCTGGACGTTATAATTATATGATATAAACAGTAATATTTCAAATATACCTGTTATAAAATAAGCCTTTGGCATGATTCGGAATCAGTTATCCAATACAAAATACTACTAGAAAATACATGCATGCAGAAACTCTCGCCTTGCTGACAAAACCATTGTATTTTCCGAACATGAAGTATCTAAGTTGTCATGGTAACACGATAATTTTTTAAGAATATTCTTACAAATGAAAAATCGCCTATAAATATCACTTTTAATTACAAAATTATTAATTTCCCAACATATATATATATATTAGGTATGTTATTGTACGTAATATGAGCCTCGATTTAAGGTAAAATTCAACCACAAACGCTTCGCAAAACGTTTTAAAGTCATTAGTGTTCTTTAATATAAAACTAAACTGCCTTTTAAAATGGCTTTATCGATAAACTTTGAGTTTGCAATAAAATGATTTAAAATTCTCGCTTGCAAATAACTTTGCTTTCTTATTTATTTAAAAAATTCACAAAAAAGGGAATCAATATTAAAGATACACTGAAATTATATGCTGTCTTGTTTAGTTGTTTCATATACGCAAAGGCCGTTGGGTTTTAAACCATTATAAAATCAATATTTAAAACAAACTTACCTTCGTTAACGTCGGCTCCCTTCTTTTAGCCGATTCTTTCGCAATTCCTTTCTCAGAGTGCTTTTGAAATTTACAAAATCTTGCAAAAATGCGAGCAAAAATGAAATATATTTGCAAGAAATTTATCAATCATCAAATCAACTCAAGAAATGTTTGCTATTTCGCTGTCGTCATGCAGTCGTTATAATGCAAACTTTAAATTGGACCAATCAGTGTCCGCTAGTCGTGACAGTCCGCCATATTTGAGATCAGTGAGGATGACCACCCACCCAACACCGTTGGTGACCCACGCCCGCGATATTTGATGAACTTTAGACTCCGCTAATGCTCTCGTTTTCCCGGGTGTAAATAGACGGGGGGAATTAGTACCCTCGCACGGCGCTTCGCGCCGTCGGCTCGGGGATAAAAACCCCCATCATTTTCTTGAGCGAAATATATTGAAACGAAAAAATCGAAAATTTGCAAATAACTCTTGACATTTGATACACAACATCCCACAACTCATTGCGCGCGTGGCCCTTGTCTTCTAAAATAGATATACCAAAAAGCGTTCCGAATCTTAGCACTGTGAAGTGCTGAAGTATAAATCTGGACAAAAATTATCATAAAAAATTGGTGAAAATTCTTATAAGCGAATAATGAAGATATGTAAATTCTCGAAATAATGATATGTCAACTACCATAATATAAAAATTTTACGGTTTAACGTATCGCATGTCATAACATGTCATGTCATCGCATGATAGCATGATCATGTCATGTCAAGAACTTCTACGAGACCTCGCTTAAATCTGGCTGTAGCTATATTCGACCAGTCGCTTTTTTAAACAATAGTTCGAATTCACAATGAAAAAAATTAGGTAGAAACGTGCACTACTTTGATTTACTGAAATATGATAGAGCGTAAACACTTACACAAATATCTGACTTCTCACAAATTTCAATGATCTACGCATATTGTGTGTAACTCGTTGTTTGTTTTGCGTTAACTAAGGCCCGCCCAAACACACAGGATGCGATTGGAGAACTCAGCGCGATTTTTTTATTTTCATCACTGATCGATAAGTTTGATCCTGCAAGTATAAGTTTTTCAAGTGATAAATATGTAGAAGCGCTATAACATTTTGAGCTACTTGGTCAACATATTTTTTAAATCTCCTTTCATTGGCTGTTTTATTAACTGTTTTTGAACTGCACAAGCAACTGTATGAAGCCATTGGCTTTTCCCCCAATCTTTGTATACACATTGAACGTGCTGGCCCAACACAGTCAGGATGTAAATTTACACTTTTGGTAAATTTACACTTGGTAGGCCTTGGTTTAATCAGGGCTGTTGTGCATATTTACACCTTCACAGTGTTAAATAAAAACATGTTCACGTTTACACCGAGACGGTGTTGGCGTAACCCAACATTGGCGTAAAGATACACTCGATTTCGGTTAATTTACACTTTCTAAGTTTAAATTTTGAATTTACACCAACTTGGTGTAAACTTACACGTTTTAGGTGTTTGCTGATCACTGCGGAATTTAGAGTGATATAATTTATACGATATAGGTTTTTATTTTATATATCAATGATCTACCGAATGCATTAGAACTGTCAAAATCTTATCTTTTTGCTGATTACACTAGTATATATATTATTCAAATTCGGATATCAAGCAACTTGAATTTGTTTTGAACAGTGAACTTCGAAAGCTGGATATCTGGATGAAGTCAAATAAATTGTCTGTGAACATCACTAAAACAAACTATATCATTTTTCGGCCGAGACAAAAGAAAATTAATTTAAATCTAGTTATCCAATATAACAATCAAATGATCACCCAAAAACAATACATAAAATTTTTAGGAGTATATATAGACCGACATTTGTCATGGAAGGAACATATTAATTATATTTGCAATAAAATCGCCAAGTCTGTTGGAATTATTTACCGATCACGATATCTACTGTCATCCGCAACAAGATTAGCCTTGTACTGCACACTTATATATCCCTATCTTACTTATTGTAATATTGTATGGTCTTCCACTTATGTAACCAACCTCAATAGAATTTCCTTTTACAAAAACGAGCTCTACGTATTCTTACAAATTCCGAATACCGTGCACACTCTGATCCACTTTTAAACAACTCAAAATATTGGATATATTTAAGCTAAATACATTTCACATTGGCAAGTTTATGTTTTTATATCATCATTGCATGTTGCCAACATGCTTTGATAATCTGTTTACAATAAACAATCAAATACATGGTTATAACACCAGATCTGCCGGTAACTATAGATCTTATGCTTGTCGAACTAATATTAAGCAGTTCACCATCTTATACTCAGGACCGAATATTTGGAATTCTTTACCTACAAATATAACTGCGATAAACACAATCTCGTCTTTCAAGATGCAACTTCGTAATTTTCTGCTTAACGAATAAGGAACAGCTAACTCTGATCAATATGCTACGACCATGTTTATCGAATATTCAGTAACAATATATAAAATTATTGGAAAATCTATTATATATTTTTGTAAATTTTCTCTCTTATTATAAACTTCATTATGTTTCAATTTCATTATATGTGTCTGTAAATTAATTTCAATTTCATATTATATGTGTCGATCTGTAACCCTAAATTATACCGATTAATTAAATATTTAACTTTGAATTTTTGAGATGAGGTGGCCTCTTTACACAAGCTCTAAACTTCTTGAGGTCTCCTCGCCGACTTTATTTTATTAATATCTTGTAAATAGCTAATAGTCTTTCTTTTTTTTTGGCAAATAAATCAATAATAAAAATAATAATATAATTTATATATAATTTATGAGATAATCTAACTTTAATAGCATACAGGTATGGACTCAGGTAATCACAATTAAGTAATTATTGTTATCCAATTTCATTGAGCAACTATTCAGTAATGATAAGAATCATTAATTCTACGTGGTTCGGAATTAAGCTGATATTATATTAATTGTATCTCATTTTGCAGCATCGAGAACCATTAGTCAAACTTGTGGTGGTGGAACTTCTTCAATCACAATACGAGATATCGAGTTCCAACCAGATGCGGCATCTGCATTTCCATAACCCTTACAATTTCCTACCCAGAATCCGACACGAACTTTGCCCTTGGGTATTTGATTGCAGTAACCTTCAATATGGCGGTGACGATGAATATTCCCGGGTTTTCCGCCCCCTCTCAGCATGTAGAAAACACCGTCAATAGCCAATGGTGTCTTGCATTCTCCTCCATTAAATGTAAAATACCATCGTTTGCAACAAGCGTTACAGTTGTAGATACGTAAATTACCGCCATAAAAGACTTTGAGAGAGGACTCACCGTGCCTCTTGTTGAATACACACTCCTTGAGGAATAAAAAATTTAACAATCAATATAGTGTTTTCGAAGGAGTTAATTATGAAATTAAATATTTAGTAAAATTGTTAAAGAAGCAAACGTTAATCTTTACAAGCTTATATTCAATAACTTATAACACAATATATTTATTAACCTTAACCTTAACATGCATGGTGTATCAAAAACTGGTAACAAACTTCAGCGCGCTATTGTATCTGAGTTACTATACGTATGAACGAGACTTTTTCACATTCGGAAAGATCATGCTTTTAGGTGTTGAATGATATCTTATTCATGCTAAATGGATACAAAATGAGCAAATACGAATCAGATAAAAAATGCCAGTCAGAACCGCATATTTTCATTGAAAATAATCCCCCATTGGTACTTAAGTTGATGAATTTCATTTCAATAAACGACGCACATATTCATAATTATCACTAAGTAGGAATAAATCTTTTTCTTTTGTTATGCATTGTTTTAATTAGGCACAGAGGTGAAAATATCCGCTTTTGACTAACATTTTATTTTTTCTCCACATGGTATGAAAAGCATGTTATTCAGTAACTAAAAGCCTGATCTTTCCGAATATCAAAACCAGTTGTTCGTACGCCGAGTGATTCACGTGTAATAGCGCGCTGAATTTCGATTACCTTTTTTTTATACACCCTGTACAACACTCAACGGACGGAGGCATTTCCCTTAAAATTAATTTAATAATTCATTGTACATTTAACAAACCTTGATTAATCCGTTATCTTTGCCGTCTCCCTGATGCCAAGCACATTGCTTCCAGTTAGAGTACAAACCACTGTCCGTTCCTGGCTTGCCTTTTTCGCCAGGAGCGCCTTTAGCCCCTACTGTGCCAGGAGAACCCACATCCCCCTTCTCACCAGGCTTACCATCTTTTCCAGTCGACCCCGATTTGCCAGGTACTCCTGGGATTCCATTACAAACGGAGTGGCACTTTTGCTTTGAAAACAAATGGAGTATTTATTTTAACACTGCTTATCAGGTACAGCAAAATGGGCTGAGCCTTTACCCTTATTTTATTGTAATTACACTCGTTGGAAACACTATAATTGCACTCGTTGGAAATACTATACACTCGGCACGCCTTAGTACCTACAGATTTTTCCAATTCTACTATTCATAATTCGTATGTGCAACCCTTTCAATGATGTTAACGAGGATAAAGCCATCACAGAGTTGCATGATCTACAGATAAAGTATATACCTGGTGTGCATCGACAGCCAATGTGAAGAACAAGACCAAGAAAGCCCACATTAAGTTCATGTCCACCATTATTATCTAAAGAATAATGAATCACATTTGTGAAGTAAACTATATATTCTGGTCGTGTGTTTACGTTGCAATTGTATATTTCCATTAGCGATGAAAATATTTGTTTTCTAGAAGGCACAACATTCGCACGCGGCCGCTTCTGTTCAGAAGCTAGGATCGTGAAAACTGCAAACCCTTGCAATAACAGAAAATGCAAAAATTAGAAATACATTTGTTCAATTCTTATAGAATGCGAGGTCTGAGCCAAAGTGTTATTTCGTTGTGCTAATTTTCGAGAGTATATTTTAAAATCATGTTTCTGTAAAATATTCCTAGTCTGCGGAAACAGAAATAAAATTTTAAATCTTTCAAGTAATTCAGATGCTGCCGTACAGATGAAAAACACTGACCTCTTCCTTTTGATATAGTCTTGCTCGATTACCACAACACGCTTCTTCCACCTTTCAGGTTATGAAGCATTGCGTCTTGTATGCCAGTCTTTTATCCTTTAGCCAACAAGAAATATTTGGTTGATTGATAAGTAAATACAATCAATAAATAACTATTGAACAATACCTGTCATCTTATGTTTCAGCTTGGTATGCATAAAATAGGTTTGTGATTATAACAAGAACTTGCCATGCTATTAACCAGCGTAAGTACACGGGGAGACAATGTCAGTAATAGCATTAACGAGACAAACATATTTAGTAATGTGCGCTTTAGCGGTGGGCGAACTCCAATAAAAAAAATGGATCCGAGCCTTGTTTTACACTCGACGCCTATGCTGTAGCTGCAATGTCATTCACATAAATAAGTGCTCTTTTAATCCGAAATGAAGGACTTCGAAATTCAAGACTCAACCTACTTGGTTTATTTTAATATAGCCGCATTACTAGCAGAAGTGAAATGCAATTGCATGTTTGCCGGCGTGAGAAGTAAATGCCTCATGTTTTTTTTTATATAATTGCGTAGCCAATATAGAGATTTTCTTTTCACATCTACTGCGGGTTAACATAATCGACTGACTTACTATTAAACGAGCATGTTCAATAGCAATAATAATTATAATAATAATAATAGTAATAATACGTCTTATTGGATTCTTCTGAGCCCAGTATGGCAAAATATTAAGTCGAGACTTATTTTCGTGACTCGAATTTTTATATTGAATTAAATTTCCGTATTCTTTAATTATCGAAGTTGCGTGTTTTAATATACATTTTACTTTTCCTGGGTAGGTAGCTTGTCTAAGCTAGTTTTGGTTAAAAGTCGAGCGTCTTCGTACTCTCATTATTTAAACAGTGACCGGGCAGGCCTGTGCGCAGAAGTTTACGCTTTTACAGTAATACAGTCTGATTAATAAAGTGTTAACCCTACGACACATACAGATTCCGATTCGCAAATGGTCGGCTTGATGACTTTAATTGCAGGCGCTATTTAACTGCATGGGAACTATTACATTTCGGAATTACCGTATATTTCTTTGACCCATGATGTTCATTGAAAAATGTACAATTCCTCGGCATGTAAAACTGCTAAACTATTACATACATAGGTTTAATTTTTAAATTTTTTACATTTTGGAAAAACGGGTGGCTTGTGCTGAGATGAAGTCTGTTCGGGGCAAAGCTATGAACCTTTCTAATGAGAGAGGCGGATGTCTCCCTCCCCCTAAATATGAAATATACATACCCATAAGGTATATTTCCAACTATTTGCGACAATAATTTTGATTTGCATAGCAATCTGTCCCTTGCCTCTGAAGTGCATGGAAAAATGAGTGGAGATTCTTTCCGATACTTATCATGCGATCAAATCGAGCGTTTCTCTGCTTTCCTCGCACGCAGGCGCGCATAAAACTGCGACACAGGAAAAGGCATTCACTTTTCAAGACAGATAATTATGTCCACTAAGCAATTAGCAGTACCACGTAAAAAGGATAAATAAATTTCAACTTTCCAAATAGCGATGGTACATCCTACTTAGCATGCAAATTATATATAATATATCCTACTGAGCTTGTAACTGCATGTTAGTATTTGTTGGAACTAGCGTATACCAATTCCCTAAATAAAGGACGAAAGGGCATAAATGATCGGTTCCGTATCATGAAACGAATTGGAGGCTGAAAACCATTTGTTTGCCAAACTCCTGCAGTCACTCCTACCAGCTTACGCGGTCCTTGCTATTACTGCAATTGAACATTTGAATTGCCAGAAGGAGTTGATCGTGACTGCAATTGTATGAGCGTATCTGGTTTTTATGACGTTGCTTGCAGACGAAATTGAACGCCCAAACTTTGTTGACCTATGATACCGGCTAATAACTGATCAAATTTTAGAAAGTTTAATTTTAAATACGACTAATTAAATCTTTAACAGTGATTTTGGTAATCTTAAGTACGTTCAACAAGCTTTCGCATGACATTTTGCATACTGTATTACATGAGTTACATTGTCCTTGCTCATGGTATACTGAATATTTAACTCAATATTTTTACGTGATTGGTTAATTTAATAATTTCACCACTAGATAATGATTTGACAATTTGTATTTTAAGTAGTTTGTTAAAGCGGCGTACAACTGCAATATAATTTTTTTTTGTCGAAGCAGATGTCTGTCTAATGGTCGCGCGTACACTGGATTGTAAAATGTGAAAATCAAAGAAGCAAGGGTTTGGGAGTATTGCCCGCTAGACAAAATTGAATATTGTTCTTTTAGAAGGATAAAATTCAACATTTACGCAAATCCTTGCAACCAGTTGATTATCATGAGATCAAATGGAGCGTTTCTCTGCTTTCCACGCGCACATACAGGCGCGCACTTAAAACTGCGAGACGGGGGAAGTCCTTCACTTTTCATGATAGATAATTATGTTCACTAATTCAGCAATTGGCATGCAGTACCATATAAGAAAGGAAAAATATATTTCAACGTTGCATACAGTGATAGTATATATCCTATTGAGCATGCAACTGTTAGTTTTCGTTGGCCGGAATTAGTGTATACCAATTCCCTAAATTAAGGACGAAAGGGCATAACTTATCGGCTCCGTATTATGAAACGAATTGGAGGCTGAAAACCCTTTATTGGCCAAACTCTACCCACCCCCAAGAAGCTTACGTGGGCCTTTCCATTACAGCGATTGAACATTTGAACTGGCCGAAGAAGTTGATCGAGACTGCAATTGTATGAGCGTATCTGGTTTTTATTACGTTACTACCAGACGAAATTGAAGCCTAAACTTTGTTGACCTATGACACCAGCTCATAACTGATCAAACTTCAGAAAGTTTAATAAGATCTTGGTAATCTTATGCACGTTCAACAACATTGTCTTTGCTCCTGGTATTCTAAATATTTAACTCGTATTTTAACGTGGTTGGTTAATTTAAATTAATACTTTCACCACTAGATAAGCATTTTACAGTTTGCTTATTTCAAATAGTTTGTTAATTTAAAGCGGTATACAACATTAAGATAATTTTTTGCAGGCGTTTGGGAGCATTGTATGACAGAGAAATTTGAATATTATCCTTTTAGAAGGATACTATACACAAACATGCATTTATTGGATATTTACACAAACCTTTGCAACATGTTCGTCTTCATTCCTAGTTTTGAAGATTTATCAAATGTTTGGTTAGACTTATACCCTTTCGGGCATTTAATTATATAAATTAACCAGAGTTGGTATTGTGAGAAAACTTATATCTGACGTTAAGACCGCAATGGTTTTAGAGTTGAAAACTGATCACAAAAATATAGGATTTGTATGTGGTTGAAATTACAACTCTGATAGGGATAACGTCACTGCGGCTTTGTAGAGTTCTTATAACCACAAGTTCTTTTATATATATGTACTGTGGGTAAACCCATTACAATATATGGGCAAATATAATTTGGGGGGCACCTCGCTCGATAAAACAGTTGAAGCAATTTGAGAGAGATGACAAAAATTCTCGGAACATATATTAGCAGTCAATGAAACGAAATAAGCTTAATTAAACAAATAATCGGATCATGATTTGGATTCGCTATAACAATTTAAGTTTCACCTCAATGCAAAATGGCCGCACCTATTTGGCCGAAAATGTAAATGACGGCTGTAAAGATTATTGACATTATCGAGAATTTTAGTTCATAAATGGCGCGCCATAACAACTAATATTTATTTAATTGATTAAACAAACCGCTTTATTTAATACGAGACGCAGAAATTTTACACTGAGAGTGCCCATGCATGTTTACATGTAACATTTTCCCATTCAACTTACGTCCAGTTTTGATAGCAAGAGTAAACTTTATGTGTATTTTATAATATGGATAATTAATTAATTTAATTCGCCGACGGAGGTGGACAATCAAGTACCATCAAGTTTCACATAATGTATGTGCGTTATTACTGTCATACCAAAATACTTTTGTGATTATAATCAGAATTTGTCATTAACCAGTCTAAGTATACAGCGGAAAAGGATGTCAAGAATATAATTTAATTAATTTCTACATGTAGATATATAACTTTTTTATCCGATACCATTTGATTATGTCAACAACGACGTTCTTAAATTAATTTAGATATAAGATGACATTAACTTTAAAATTGAAATTTGCTTAGCATCATGAAATGCGATTTGTTAATTAATAGTATGCACGCATGTTCTACTAAGATAGATGTTTCTAAAAGTATTTTATACTCGTTGAAATGCTAGTAGATAAAATTTCAAAAATATTTTCTACTGAATAAACGAGCGCTATAAGTAATAAAATCCAGTCTCACGCAAGTTCGATTATATCTGTTTTGGTGTTTAGATTGTACTCAGATGATTTTCGTTGTAGCCAATTCTTCGACTGATCAATGTTTACCGAGATTATTCGTTCTGGAACGTTTCAACGGTATTGTTTGGAAGATACACTAAAAGCACGGACGGATACAAGCTTTTACGGCACACAGATTAGGGGATAACCTCCCTCCCCCCTCCATACTTGGGCGAAAGGGTGCCGACGATGCATTTTTTTTTTCCCGTAGACAGTCGTATTCCTCGTTGATAGCCGGACGCATCAATGATCCGCGTCCATGCCTCCCCGCATTATCGATCGATCCCTTCGTACCCTGCATCATCCATTGGTATAACATATGTCCATCGTACCACGTTGTTCCAGTCTTCGACGATGTGTAGAAGGATTTGCTTCATGGCATATCAAGAAATGTCCTTGATGATAAAAGCAAAAACAAAGACTTCCTAACATGCAGTGATGTAAGTGCTCGTTACTAAAGTAACGCGTTACTAATTATACTAATTACTTGTTGGGTAATTTTTCGTTAATTAATTACTTTTTGCACAAAAGTAATTTGTAACGTAATCAATTACTTTTTGAAGGTAACGAGTAACATTTTAAAAAGATAATTCGCGTTACTTTATTATTTTTCAAAAAGATTGAGCGTAAAAATAAAAAAATAAAAATGTCTGCGGTGTTGCTGACCAGCGTCAGGATTGCGAAATAATACATTTGAAAATACTTCATGGCATTGGAATGTTGTGTCGCCTTGCTTGTTGAAAATGAATATGGATGAAGTTGTCGTTGAAGCGGAAAATGAAACCGATGAACCAAGTGATATAACCGATATTGGCACAGAAACAGTGGAAGAAGGCAACTTGAATGTTGATCCGTGGCCACGACTCGGGGAATTGTTTACTTTTTCATCTCAATCGTCTGACAAGAAGAATTTACTTTTCAAGTGCGAATTATGCCCACCATCAAAAAAGCCATTCTCGACTTACAAAACATCGCATTCGAACCTTCGAAAACATATAAAGGTAAGGGACAAAAATGGGCAACAAATATGATCGATGATGCAATTTTAATATACTTAAGGAGGCTCCCTACAGTTTCCAATATAATTATGGCAGTGTTTTAAATTAAACTAAAAGCTATTTGAATCTAAAACCCCTAATTTTTTGCACAAGCCATTGTTTCCTTTTATATAGAAGGGTAATTTAACCCACAATCGCTACTCTTCACGTTACCATGACAACATGCCGTCACTATCTATATGGCCTACATGAACCGGAAAAGCCGCCTTAGCGGACAAATAAGCGCGGTGATCTACCTTTTTTATTGCAGAAAACACATTGTCATGAAGTTTTGAATCTTTTTTGAAAGTAATTTGAAAATCGCCAGTGTAGTTTTCGAGATACTGAATTTTAGCCTTTTAGATTGCATTTTAGCCTTTGGAAAGGCTGAAATTCAGTTTCTCGAAAACTACACTGGCGATTTTCAATAAACTTTCAGAAAAGATTCAAAACTTCATAACAAGGTATTTTCTGCAATAAAAAAGGTAGGTCACCGTGCTTATTTGTCCGCTAAGGCGGCTTTTTTGGTTGATTTAAGCCGTATAGATGGTGATGTAATGTTGTCATGGTAACGTGAAGAGTAGCGATTGTGGGTTAAAATTACTTTTTTATATCAGAGGAAACAATGGCTTGCGTAAAAAATTAGTTTTTTTTATGTAAATAGATATATAGATATATATATATTGGAAACTGTAGGGAGCCTCCTTAAAAAACTCATTAATAATTCATAAAGAAAACACAAAGAAAAGTCATAAGCGTGACGTATCTGTATATGTGATACAGATTCATGTTGATTTACATAAACTTTAACTTTCATTTTGTCAGCTTAGACAACGTTTATTTTTAAAATTACTTCGCCAATGAACTCATAAGATGAGTCGTTTTTTAAGCCATTTATTCGGCTCGAGTTTGTACAGTATATTCGATACAACTAGGCCGCTCATGTGGTAAATAGTACTAATATGTTTCATAAAAATTATATGACAGAAGGTTCACCCATTCAGCCGGAAGAAGTTTAACGAGCTGACAAACGTGCGAAAACTAAAGCGAGCTGTTGATGCTGCAGGGAGTAGTGGTGCTACTGGGATAAAACAAGCCAGATTGTCTTGGCAAACCTCAAAGCCTAGCTCCAAAGTTAACCAAGAAAATTTCTAGAGGTTAGTTTTAAAGTTTGTGACTGATACACTGTCGTCCTTGTCCATTGTAGAACAAACAAGTTTTAAGGAGCTTCTTGTTTCCCTCAACCCTTTAATAGTGATGCCTTCCCGTTACATGGTTTAATAATTACCCGGCTCGAGAAAACGAAAGACAGTGTGATGGCTTGCGTTAAGACTGCGATGGGACAAATTGATTGGGTAGCTACAACTACTGACTGCTGGACAGCCCACCTTCGATCTTTCCTTGGCGTAACTGCTCATTGGCTCAATAAGGAAACCATGAAACGCGAATCTACTGCCATGACTTGTCGTCGTCTTACTGGTAAACATGATTATCAACTATTGGGCAAGGAACTTTGCAAGGTCCATTATCAATTTGAAATAACCGAAATGGTCATTGCTACAACTACAGAAAATGGGTCCAATTTTGTCAAAGCGTTTTCAGTTTTCGGTCCTTCAGAAGATGAAAGTGAAGAATATCAGGAGCATGTATCATTGAGTGATGCTTTTAACAGCGGCCTAATTGATGAACCAGACCTCCTTTCTCACTATAGATGTGCCGCACACACACGTAATCTGAATGCCACAACTGACGCAAATCGTGCAGAGTTGGATTCTGCGTATAAAAAGCTGAGTCGTTCTACATTTGCAAAATGCCAAACTCTGTGGAACAAGTTCAGTCGAACAACAGCAGCAAATGAGATTGTCTCCAAAGAAGCTGGCCTTCAACTTGTCCAACCATGTGCTACCCGCTGTAATTCTGTTTTCAACTCGGTTGCTCGCTTAAATCGAATTCGCCACGAAAAGGGGAATTCAGCAATCAGTAACATCTGTCATAATTTAGAACTACCACGGTAAGGGAAGATAATTTTCTGATACATGCACGCTTTAATTTATCTTTATTTGAAACATATGAAGAAGTTAAAAACGACTTGATGTCTTTAGGTACATTTTTCACACTCATTGTAGTAGTTTATGCCCTGATACTGTACTTTGTTTAGGTTCAAAGATACTGAATATGAATTTCTTGACACATATGAATCGATAATGAAGCCTGTGGCAAAAGCATTGGACATCCTTCAAGGTGACAAAAACACTAAATTTGGATTTTTAGTGCCAACTCTGAAAGAACTCAGGAAACGATTGGAAAAACAAAAGTCCAAACATACTGAAAATAGCAGTGTTTGCCTTCCACTTGTAAATGCAGTCCTTGATGCACATACGGCACGGCGTTACGTACTTGAATTAGGTTGGTAAAAGTTTTAAAACTTAATTATAAAACCACTCCATTTTAGAATTTTGTTGTATATAGTTGTAACAGTGCAGTAAAGTTCTATTAAAAAAACAACTTTATTTTTTGCATGTCAAGGATTGGAGTATATCAGATCGCATCTTGTCATTGACACTGATCAACAATCTTCAAACGAATGCGACAACGATGATGACGATGAATTTTTCAAGTCAAAGAAGAAGACAACCAAATCGTCTTTGGATACCTACTTGGCTTCAGACATTATTGATGCCACAGTTTACAATGGACAATGCACTGCACCTTTGAAGCAAATAGCTTTGAAGCTGAACACCGTATTGCCTGCAAGTGCAGCTGTTGTGCGTCTTTTCAGCTGTGGAGGCTTGATCATGCGACCGCATCGAAATCGGTTAACTGATGATCATTTTGAGTCGGCTCTACTTTTAAAGCTAAACTCCAAATTTAATACAGTTGCATAAGTCTTAACTCTTAACTTTCGAACTGCCTTTCGAATTAATATTTTGTTATTGTTGAAGTCCATAAGAACTTGAAAGTAATTTTAAAGTAATTAGTAACTAATTACTTTTTAAAAAAGTAATTAGTAATCGGTAATTAAAAACATTTGAAAGACAGTAATAAGTAATTAGTAATAATTACCTTTTTGAAGAAGTAATTGTAATTTTACTCGTTACTTTTTTTGGTAATTTTCACATCGATGCTAACATCACAATCATCATATTCACCTGACTACATTAAACCAACACAGAAAAACCATTACTGATTATAAGATTGCATTGATATCGAAGGAACTAGATTCTGTTCCGAAATATCACATATTCGAACCGATCTGACCGCGTAGCTCAGTTGGCAGAGCATTCGGCTAGTATTCCAAAGGTCGTAGGTTCGATTCCCACCGTAATCAGGCATATATTTCAAGCATCATTCTCGTTTATATTAATTCAGCATCGAACCATGCTAGTTCTGCTGGTGTTATATTATATTGTGTTATTTTTCACTCCGTAATATGATAAGTAGAAAATGTTCTCGAGTGTACATTTCATAATTTCCATACCCAGCGTAAGCGGAAAATAAAGTCTGCCGCGGCAGTCGGGACGCATTTTCTGACGTCACAGTAGAATGACGTTGTGTACAAATTTATATACGCAGGAAGGTTACGATGACAATCCGATCGCTTCCGAAAGCTGTGTTCGGTCCACCGTAACTTCGTAGGAGCTATGACATTTAATTATAACATCATATCGCAAATTTTCCATTGCACGAGGCTGTGACAAAATTTATACTATTTGATTTTGGAGGAAAAGAGTTTATATTTTTGAAGGTATGTCGATAAAAATAGTTATTTGAAAGTTTGAATACTTTTATAGCTGTAAATGACGTGTAGTCTGTGTTTAATACATTCCAAAAACTTTTTTTAAACATTTGCTTTGTGAGTTGGGAATTCCGAATTCAATGATCTATAACAGCATCAACTCATATTAATAAAGTGATATGGGACCATATTTTTATGATGTTTGTCGTTTGCGAAGACTCCCATATGACTTTTAATTATTTGTATAAAAAATGGCCTGCAGAATTTTAAATATCTAGCAGTGAATTGTAATCGGTCAGTTCACACTTCACAGATAACATTATTTTTATAATAAAGTCATTCATGTAAGTATGAGTGTGGCAGTATAGATTATTGAGGCTTGACACTATTATCCTGCTCATGTTCCACCTTCCACCTTGCAGGGAGATTCCTCTGTTGACAGGTGCATATTTGTATAGTAGTACAAACTAAAGTAAACCCTATTGTTTGTTTTTAGGTTATAATCTGGCACTACTGGACATCAGTGTTAAGATCCTTTGAGCCATTGTGTTCGCGCTGATCAATATTTGGCAGATCAGACATTCAATTACAAGTGTGACTTGTACTATTCAATACTATTTAAAACCAAGCGAAGTATTTGCTCCCTAACAAATATATTATTAGACGTCATTTGCGACTAAAACGCAAACTTTTTACAAGGAGTGATTTGCGTCTGAACACTAACTTTATACAAGGCGTGGTTTGCGTCTATACAACAAAGTTGAACACTAACTTTATACAAGGCGTGGTTTGCGTCTATACAACAAACTTTATAGTTTATACAAGGTGTGATTTGCATCTATTGTACACTAACTTTATACAAGGCGTGGTTTGCGTCTATACAAAAAAGTTGAACACTAACTTTATACAAGGAGTGGTTTGCATCTATACAACAAACTTTATCCCCGAGCGGACGGCGCGAAGCGCCGTGCGAGGGTACTAATTCCCCCCCGGCTAGTTACACCCGGGGAAACGAAAGCATTAGCGGAGTCTAAAGTTCATCAAATATCGCGGGCGTGGGTCACCAACGGTGTTGGGTGGGTCGTCATCCTCACTGATCTCAAAAATATGGCGGACTGTCACGAATAGCGGACACTGATTGGTCCAATTTAAAGTTTGCATTATAACGACTGCATGACGACAGCGAAATAGCAAACATTTCTTGAGTTGATTTCAGTGCTTCCATTTTCAAGGAAATTTCCTTTTCTAAGGAAATTCTAGTGTCGAAAAGGAAAATCCAAGGAAGAGAAAAAATCTAAGGAAATCTAAAGATTTTTTCCGAACAACTTTTTCACTATTTCTTGACTTTTTGAGAGAATTATCAATTATGTTTAATTAAAAATCTGTTTTTAACTTTTCCTCGTGTTTCCGAAAACTTTCGAACGTTTTTGAGCGATGGGATTTAGTAACTTTTGGCGCCAAACGCTGTGAATAATTAATTAATTATATCAATGCGAAGGTATATGTTGTAAAAGCATAACAAATATTTAATTTTAAACAGTGTAATAGCCTGTGGTTTTTTAGCTACAATCTTGGACATAACTGGTTGAGACTATTTTCCCCCTATAGAAAATTCGCGTATTTTTATGATAAACTCCATGTTGAATTATGTTGCCATTCTTAAACCCCCGCTCCCCCAACTCAATGTTGAGCTTGTATCATGGTATATTACCAAAAGTTGTTTCGGCGTTGTTCACAACATTGTACTGGGGGGGAGGGGGAGACCAAGTTTGTTTTGTCAATGTTCAATAACTTTGTAATATTAGCTGGAGTGTTCTCAAGGGTTTTGTCCAAGATTGTCTGAAACAGACTGAATTTAATTTTGCGTGATAACTCAATTTTTTAAAAATTTTCTTGCACGCTGGTAGTCTAAAAGATAGATATACACATTAATACTTGTTTTTCGAGCAATATATATGTTTGTTTGCAAGAAAAGCAAGCATTACAATGCCTATTTCAACTTGTCACATCTTAAAAATATACGCATGAAACGCATGAATTTACTTGTTGTTACATCTAAAATATATAATTTTCTTTTGCCAGAAGCGGGCAATATCATGTTACTTGGGCATAAAGGTCCAGACACATGCTTTGGGATTAAATTCAATTATGTAAATATCACGTTCAAGTGTTGCTGTATATAGGTATTTTGAATAGATGACGTCATTTGCTCTATAGTTTATGAGCCTCAAACTTGCTTTTAAAATTCATAATTTATCTCGAATTTTTTTATATGACGGTTAACCAAGTACAATCTTTATCGTTGTTTAATAAAAGAACGGTAAACCGGCCATTAGAACGGTAAACGGCGACTCGAATTTAAAACAATGACTAGACCTATCATTTACTATAAAATCTTGCTGCTATCCCCGTTTACCGTTGTAATGGCCTGTTTACCGTTCTTTTATCAAACCACGATAAAGATTATACTTGGTTAACCGTCATATAAAAAAATTCGGGTTAAATTGTAAGTTTTAAAAGCAAGTTTCAGGCTCATAAATTATAGAACAAATGACGTCATCTTATAGAAAATACCTATATACAGCAACACTTGAACGTGATATTTACATAACTGAATTAAATCCCAATGCATGTGTCTCGATCTCTATGCCCTAGTAACATGATATTACTCGCTTCTGGCAGTAGAAAACTATATATTTTAGATGAAACAACAAGAAAAATTCATGCGTTTCATGCGTATATTTTAGGATGTGACAAGTTCAAATAGGCATTACATTGACTAGGCGACACATTGTTCCTCGTGGGGGATCGCCATACTATAATAACCTGTGCAAAGTGCCAATTGCCTATATGAAAGTAGCTGTGTAGACAACGTTTACCATGTCCATGATTCCATTTCTTTTTAAACTCTGTAGCTGGTACAGGCAACACTTTGTTCCTCGTGGGGGGTCGCCATAGTATAATAACCTGTGCAAAGTGCCGATTGCCTATATGAAAGTAGCTGTGTAGACAACGTTTAGCATGCCCATGATTCCATTTCTTTTTAAACTCTGTAGCTATGTTCTATAGCAGTAGCTAAATGGTTCAAATGGATCAGGGAACGTTCCCACGTTAGAGTAATTAGCCGTTTTCTGAGCAAACCATGTTATCAAGTTTGACCAATTCGGCTACTTTTAGTGTTGGATATGTTTTTACATGCACTATACGAAGCTTTCAATGATGATATGGAATAAGGTAGAAATCAAGTTTAACAGATGTCCAATAAATAATTTACTTTTATCCAGACGTGTATTATGTCCTCCTAATTAATTTCCCTTTACTTACAATATAAATATAGATTTTGCATCGCCTGGAATGATTGCTAATATGTATAAAAATTTCGGTTACCTACAGTACTTGCAGTGTAACATATATTTAATAATTTTTCCTCCATCGCAACACTAACCGACCTGCCTTTCTAACCATAACTCTCAAACAATTTGTATGCTTGTAAAATTCCCACATTCAGACTGTCTGAAACAGACTGAATTTAATTTTGCGTGATAACTCAATTTTTTTAAAATTTTCTTGCACGCTGGTAGTCTAAAAGATAGATATACACATTAATACTTGTTTTTCGAGCAATATATATGTTTGTTTGCAAGAAAAGCAAGCATTACAATGCCTATTTCAACTTGTCACATCCTAAAAATATACGCATGAAACGCATGAATTTACTTGTTGTTACATCTAAAATATATAATTTTCTTTTGCCAGAAGCGGGCAATATCATGTTACTTGGGCATAAAGGTCCAGACACATGCTTTGGGATTAAATTCAATTATGTAAATATCACGTTCAAGTGTTGCTGTATATAGGTATTTTGAATAGATGACGTCATTTGCTCTATAGTTTATGAGCCTCAAACTTGCTTTTAAAATTCATAATTTATCTCGAATTTTTTTATATGACGGTTAACCAAGTACAATCTTTATCGTGGTTTAATAAAAGAACGGTAAACCGGCCATTAGAACGGTAAACGGCGACTCCAATTTAAAACAATGACTAGACCTATCATTTACTATAAAATCTTGCTGCTATCCCCGTTTACCGTTGTAATGGCCTGTTTACCGTTCTTTTATCAAACCACGATAAAGATTATACTTGGTT